CAATAAAATGAAAAAACTATACTTTATTTACCAGAAATCAAAGGGCTAAGGCAAAATGAAAAACACCAGTGGAACATGTAAAAAGTGAATGACCATAGGAAACAAGCTGTTCAATAAATGCACTTATAATTACTGGGCGCAGTCAAAATGGGAGGTGACACCATATTGTTCAGTGGCAGAAGACAAAAAGAACAAGTAAATGAACAATAATTCACATCCAGGACCAATGGATTGAGCTTTAAGGACAAAACAGTACCGACTCAGCAATCTCTTGAAGAAATGCTCCACCTACCTTAGATGAAGTTTTCCAGTTGAAAATATATATACTAAAAAAAAAAAAACAAATCTTGACCCTGAAATGAAAGCCTAAACTCACTAATTTTACTTGTATTCCAACTTTTGGTGCATTTTAAAATTTGTGTAAAACATAAATTTAATTTTAAAACTACACTCCATAATTTAATAAAATGACCCCAACAACTCACTCTTTCCGTACAACTAAAATAATCATCGTCTTGGCACAGAGAGTGAATGACATTTTCTAAGATGGTCTCCAAGAAAAAATAAATAAATAAAATATCAGCTAGTATTTTACAAATGCTGCTGCTAGCTACCCATTTAAGTCCTCACACGACACAAATGAAAACTTTTATATTTCTCTGCTCTTTTTTTTTTTAAAAAAAGCAAAATAACGCTCCAAAAATGTATTGACTCTGCACGGTGCCAAGAGTTGTTACACATTTTATACGAAAATGGGTGCATTACACAAAGTTGTGAGTTGTGACTATATTTTATATTCATGTACACTAACAATACACTACCATAGTACTTGGCCAACACTTTATTTTATTTCAATTATTCCACTTCATCAAGTAAGCTACTCCCACTCATGAAACAAAGCTGGGAAAAAGACTCAGAATTCAGATCTATCTCACCACAGATTACATTAAAAAAATGTTTTCTTTTATTTTACCATTAATTTTAATTAATTATCCAATTTTTAATATTTTCATAGTAATTTTTTTCCAAGACGAGAAAATAAAAACCGGAGCCTAAATTGATGCGGAGAAAATGGAACAGAGAGTACTTACATAAGTGTTTAATTGCCTGACGAAGCTGGAAAAATTGTTGTGCTTGAAGTATCTGGGAAGAACAGTAGTAGAGAAAGCATGAGGATCCCAGACAACGAAACTATGGCCTCCTCTGTACCAAGAGATTATATGATCAGTCACCGAATCATCCACCATTTCAAACGTCTTTGTCAGAAACGGCGGCGGCCCGGCCTCGTGCAGCCCTTCCATTGGCTGCGGTTTAAGATTTCCCGGCGACCCAGATGAACTTGATCCCCCGTAATCCACATACTCTTGTTTGACTGGAAACAGAGGATTCATGCTTGAATGGAGAAGGGAAAAAAAAAGGGATGAAGGCTACTCTTGAAACTCTCTCTTCAAATGTATAGGATGAATTTCAGAGCAAAAATTATGGTTTGAATTACGAATTATAGAGATTAATGTGATTAAAGACGGATGAAGAACAGAGCAGTGAAGGAAAAAATGCAGAGGTGTCATGAAAAAAGAGGGGCATAAATTCAACGCTTTTATTACCAGTTTTTTGGGTAATAAATTGGATTGCAAAGGACCGGAAGGTTAGATTATACGGTGACAAAAGAATTCGAAAGATTTAAGGTAGGTTGGTGAGCACAAAATTGAAGTGATAGAAAGGCAAAGATTTTATCATGAAGGACATAATTAGAAAAAGGTTTTACATATATAGAAAGGAAGTTTTGTGGAAGGTTGAATATTTTAAGCGAGGAACGTTCTAGAGTTCTTGTGTTCCCCAATTTGGGATTTCCGTTAATATAAAAAGAGTTAATTGCAAACAACTCCCTCTCTAGTTCCACTGTTTTGTGTCACATACCCCTTGTGATAATACTTATGGTATTTTAATACATTTATCTTTTAATTAATTTTCTTCAAAATGTAAAAAATATGGACGGTAGACATCCTGCAATATACAAGAAGAACGATTATTTTTCTTGCGCTTAATATATTATATCGATTATTTGTACCATGGCTTGTTGTACTTTATATGTATTTCCAAATTTTTATTATACAATTAACACATATGATTGTAAGAGATTAAATAAAAACTTAATTATTAAGTTGAAAATATAAAGGTGATGATTGAGGGTGGTAATCTAGAATTCTTTTGTGACTTTTGGTTTGTTTATAGAGGTTTTCTTGAGGAAGGTTCCATATGGAAGGGAGAGGAGAGAGAACGCGGAATTGGGAAACTTCTGGAACTTGCGGTCGCTATGGTATGGTGGAGGTATGGGTACTACGGTGTGGGTCATACGTGGCAGCCAATAGGGTGGCTTTTCTCACCCTTTAGTTTTTAATTTAGGACACAAATCCTTGGAGGATTTTGATTGGATGAGGATATGGTGAAAGCCCACCTGTACTGTGTGACATCAATGATAATCCATTAATTTATCCAAAAAGTAATAATAAAAATAACATAAAAACTTATCTCCATGCTAAGATTCCCCTTGAGTCTTTCTATTTGTAATTTTCTGCATTTTGCCGTACCAACTAGCTTGGGACAAATTTAAAGGTCCAAATTATTTTTTCATTTCTTTGTGTCAGCGTTATATTAATTAACATAACATGTACTACTGTTTGTTATTAAAAAGTATTCTATATTGAGATTTTAAGTTTATATTAAAATTAATATAAATTTTAAAATTTAAGGTGAATTATGTTTTTTAGACAGAGGAAATATTATTTAGTTTGTGACTCTGTCCAATAATAAAATATTTATCAAAATCAAAGTTTTAATTTTGTAGTAAGAGAGTATGTTTGCTCTATCTGTTTTCACTACAAAAAAAAAAAAAAAAAACCTTCCTTGTCTGAATCGATCATTAATAAAAAAAAATTCACTTTTCAAAATTTTTTAAAAGTGAAATTCTGAATTTTTGCATCGGGGAAGGTTTTCTTTTTATTTCTTTTTGAAGAATACAAAATCAGCCAAGTAATTATATGCTGTATAAAATAGTGGATAAAAGCTAGCTTGGTATATTTGGTAATATCTAGGAGCCGACATGGCCGAGACCTTATCGAACAAATGCCAGAGGACTCGAGATATTTTTGGTCCAAAGTTGATAAATTAAATAATTGATCAACAATTAATTTATTCAAGGAAATTCAAAAAAGTACAATGGACAGCTCAGACTCAGACAGTATGAGTAAACAGTGGAAATTGAAACTTAAAATAAAATAAAAATTAAATATATATAAAAAAGTGCAAATGCTAACAAACAATTACCGCTTTGGGAGTCAGTGATTTTTTTCATGTATTTTCATTTTCACTTCAATTACTTTATGGCGGTTTTATTTTGATTTTTCTCTTCAGGGTTGGACCCCACTTACCTGATGCATTGAACGTAACTAACAACAGTAGACGGATTTCCTTTACCTGTGACTCTGTGAGTGCGTGTGAAGATGATTTGGGGGCGGTGTCCCATTTTAGAAATTGTCAGTTGCAACATTGCTAAATTCGGCCGAATCCAATGGGTTCTTCAGCCTGTTGGATTTCCTTTGCGGATTTTGCATCCATACCGACCCATACCCAACTCTATCACCCCAATGATGATCGAAAGTCAAAACAATTGGAAAATATATAGAAGTACTTAATCAACCAGATACATCCGATTAACTACGTAATATTTTACTGTCATGAGAGTGAGTAGAGTGACTTCCCATATACAGAGCAGGTTCAAGGCATGTCAGGGTGTTAAGCCAAAATTTAAATTTAGGGCTCTTCAATAGTCGAATATAAATAAATAAAATTTTAATAAAATATTTTAAAATTTCGATACAAATAATTTTATGAGATAACTAAATTATAACATACTTTTGTATGACAAAATTTTTATGTAAATATCATTTTTTTAATTATCTTTCAACAATTATTATAAAATAATTCAAGAAAATAATTGTAGTAAATAAAATTCTAAAAAAATGAGACCCTAAATAATATGAGGTTTAAAGCCCAAACTTTAGGAGCCTCCTCCTAAAGCCGGCTCTGTCCACATATTACTCCTTATATTTCAAAAAATAATCCACGTTGAGTTTTTAAAATTGTGTATTATTTTTATTACAGATTTGTAAATTTAATGTGAATTATTTTTATGAAATAAAGAGAATACGTACCTCACAAGCCGTGATGGTATTACTGAATAGTGATATGGAGAAATCAGTCAAAACATCAGTCTTTTTTTTTAAATGTATACTACTGTATAGTTTTTCTTTTTGGTACCCTAAATGTATACTATTTTAGTTGCCTATTCTTTGATTGAGTACTATCTTTTAATATTTTTTTTTACAACAAACCAAATAAGGACAACAAGGATGCATGTGCCTAACCACACGCGTAATACTCAAATTATTATGCTCCTCCCAACATTTCTTGTCTCCCAAACTAACTATAAAGGGAACTCCATATAATACAATGAGTTGGTGACAAGCATATTTTGATCCGCTAGTATGACATGTTTGTAACAATGCACCACGATTTTTTTAATTTTTTTATGCTTGTAATTGTGCACCACGATTTTTTTTTCTAAAAAAAAAAAAAGAAAAAACGCAGACACGCACAATGACCAGTGATACTTATTTTACTGTCCACGATAACCTTAAACCAATGAGAAAATTACCATTTTAAACGGGGCATAATTAGTCATTTTAAGTTCTACATACTCCAAAGTTTCAAAATAGATTGATTTATAACTTTTTTATACTTGTGCCCTAAAATAATTGTCTCTTTGGATGTTTATTTTCCATACAATTTGTAGTAAAAATGAAAATTGTATTGAGAGTGAAAATTTAAGTTAGACAATCATTTGAAGATGGAGAGAGTAAAATATATTAAAATAGTCTTGCAATATATGTAATTTTTTACCTTATTTGGAGACTTCGTTAGTAGAAGATAACACTTTCTTTGTTCTATTTTAAATAATTTACTTTCTGGAATAATATTACAACAAATACAAGACTAGAGACGGTTAAAATGGGACGGGCCACCTAGACTGTGAATAATTTAAGTGTATTAAAATGTCAAATAGATTACAAATTTACAATTATAGGTGGGAAAAAAAATAGGAAATAACCGCTGAAAAGAGTAACCCGAAACTTGCCATTGTTGTTGCTCCCGGTCGGACCGTCCGACCGTTCGGCGTCTGATTTGAGCTGCTTTCTTGATCGAAGCAGAGCTTGTTCTTCCGCCATATTTCAATTCAATGTCCTATTGATTCGTTGCTTGTCCGAGCTGAAGGAAACGAATGGTAGAAATGTTTGATTCGATAGTTCACACATTGTTGCCCTTGAATACCTCGTTGCTAACAAATCAAATCCTCCGAACTCTAACCAGTGAATGAATTTCATGAAACGCGAAGATGATCTTCCGAAGGTTATTAATTATTGCCGTGCTAGGTTTTGTGCTGGGGGTAATTAATCGTGCTGATGGAGAATCATTGACTTGCCTGACGGTTTACAAAGAAGGAGGTGCACCGGCGGTTTTCCAGTCGCCCAAATGCCCTCGCTGGAGCTTATCGAGCTTCGGTTCTCGTCAGCGGTCGCCGAATAATCGTCACTCAGCGAGATGTCAATCGGCAATGCATAAAGGTCGCAGGAAGTCTCAGGAGGATCGGACTCTTTGTGCTCTCGACATACGCATTCCTTTTCCCGGTAAATTAATATTATCATTTGCGTTTGAACCATCACAAAAACATTCACTCTTATTCGATATCAGTATATGCTTCGCTTGATAATTGAAAATATGATTGTGAAATTTAGGCGAATTACTTGGAAGTGTCTCTTGGGAAATTGCGTGTTTTTATTGTGTTTCTTGCTTTGTCAACTTGTTAAATGTTATTGTCATTTAACTGAATTTACCAAGGGGTTGGGAGATGTTTAATGAAAGTTCTTATTGAATTTGGCTGAGAGACTGTTGCTTACAGGACAAAAATACAACAGTGCTTGCGGTCTGAGAAATATGCATTATATTGCTTCCTCCTTTTGTAGTTTGAATCACCAAGATTCTCGCAACTTTTGGGATAATAGAATGCTTAAACTTAGGTAAAGATGAGAGAGAAGTAGAGAACCTCTTTGGTGGTTCGATATTGATAAATTCTATTTCTGCTTAAGAGTTAGAGAAAGAACTACAATGTTGTTTTGGATCTGAGGTCAATAGCTGTTCTATGGTCTATTTTCCACTTTTGAACCTCAGAATCTGATTCTCTCTTGCTGCAGGTCCGACTGGGATTAAGGAAGTCGCAGTTGGTATTATTGCTGTTTTTGATGGTCACAATGGTGCGGAAGCAAGTGAGATGGCTTCAAAGTTGTTGCTGGAGTATTTTACCCTTCACACTTACTTTCTTCTTGATACAACCTTTTCCATTTTACTGGGAAAATCTACGGGAAGGTTAGGAAATGAAGCCGAGAGGGATTGGTTTTTCCAGAAAGTGGCATGGAAAGTGCTGGATCACAATGAGGTTGATTTTGGGAGGTTGCTTTCTATCCTATCATCGCAAATAAAATAATTTGGTATACTGTTTTAGCTGTATTGTCATTGTAGGAATTCTGTATTTTGTTAAATTTTAGCATTTAAGGCATCTGCACAACCCTTCTTTTCTGGTCTTTTGGAGGGTAAGAAAGGAATCGAGATTTGAACCCCTGATTTTCTCCATTGTGGAGCAGAGATTATTCACTATGCAATGACTTGGAAGCATTTTTTCATTTTGATTTGCTTAATGTCTTTTAATTGCTATTACTTCATTTAGACGAGTGAAGAGAATGTCTCTTTGAGTTGCCTTTCTCATAAGCGAATTTACTATTTGTTTTGCAATCTGATCAGTTTTTTGCTTTGTATTAGTGTTTTCCCCTTTAATCTCATTGCCATCCAGCATCTATCAATGCTCTGCATTCCTTCCAGTTGTAATTCTAAAATGCCTACTTCATGTATTCATTTTTAGAATGATATGTTTGATCTTCTGTATGACCTGTTACCGCGACGGTCCTGGAAATGATGAAATTTTATGTTTATTGTGAAACTGTACAGGATTTTAAAGTTATATTCATTCACAGCTAAGTCCAAATTAGGCTCTGATACTGCATCTTTTTGTGAATGTCTCAGTATTATATATGAAGGCTTAATAGTTGTTATATATGTAAATGGGTTGACACGGTAATGACATCAGAACTCTTTAGCAGGCTTAAACTGGATTTGTCGACAATTGGGGATGAATCCTTTCACCTGGAAATATTGAAGGAGGCACTGTTGAGGGCACTCCACGATATTGATGTAGCATTCACCATGGTGTGTCTTTTCTTCTGATGAATTTTAAGTTTAACTGGGGAAACTTTTCCTTCTCTTACGTCTATTGCTTTTATGGATGTTAAAGGATGCTCTAAGATACAATTTTCATTCTGGCTCCACGGCTGCTGTCATACTCATTGCGGACCATCAAATTTTAGTTGCGAATGTGGGAGACTCAAAAGCATTTTTATGCTCTGAAATACATCAGTCTCCTTTTGAAGCTAAAGGTTATGCTCTGAATTATATCAGTCTATATGCACATGCAATTTTTATTCTTTTTTCAATTCTCTTTCACTCGCTATTGGTTTGTTGGAATCAGCATCTACCCTTGCCAGTTCTTCGGTATCTGAATAGTTCATGTTTGTAATTATAGAGTGATTAGATCTAGAAAATTTATTGTTATGATTGTGAAACAACAACATGATTTTGGGGGCTAATGTTTATGGTCTTCCTATTTCAGCTACTTTGCTACGGTTGTACAGAGAAAATAGGCATGATATGACTTCTCCAGTTGTCAAAAATTACCGCAGCCTCAAAGAGGCTGCCTCCAATGGGTTCACTTTTCTAATTGCAAAGGAGTTGACAGAGGATCACCATCCAGACAGAGAAGATGAGCGCTCCCGCGTCGAATCTGCTGGAGGGTATGTTTCTGAGTGGGGAGGTGTGGCTCGAGTCAACGGTCAGTTGGCTGTTTCACGAGCAATTGGGGATGTGTACTTTAAGAGGTAGTGCTGATTGGGATAATTGATGCTTCGTGTTTTTGTTCGTTCTGTTTCATTCTCAGATTTTGACAGTTGAAGATAGCCATGCAACCTAGTTTTCTGATTTTATGTTTGACACTTACCAGTTATGGTGTTGTATCTCTTCCTGAGGTGAATGATTGGAAACCTTTGTCAGTCAACGACAGCTATCTGGTGGCTGCAACTGATGGCGTGTTTGAGCATCTTAATCCGCAGGAGATATGTGATATTTTCTGGGAAATACATATGGAGAGTAATTCAAGCTTAGAAGTTACAGATTCGTTGTCATATTCCTTGGCGGATAGAGTTGTAGACACTGCATTTTCCAAAGGTAGCGTGGATAACTTGGCAGCTGTTGTACTTCCTGTCAAATCGGCTGGTACTTTTCAGACGTTCTTGGAGAATAGTCCTGATGGATCAGGGGAATTTGATTTGCCAGCATTAGGATACATCAAACACTTCAACAAACAATTAGGTATTCATTCTGTTCTCTGGTTTATGTGAGCTTAGATTAGATACCATATTGAAGTGTAATAATTTGTTTGTTTCATGCAATTAGGCATTGCCTATATAAATTTATGTAGCATTTGTTTCGTTTCATGCACCCAGGGGATACTTAATATAAATGTTTGAAGCTCATTTAATCCCAAAAGGAGAATTTTTTTGCTTTGTTTTTAGGCTTTCATTGATGCATGAGACGTCATACTCATGTTCATTTTTTTTTTTTGATTGTTTGCCTTAAAATGATTTTATGAAGTATTTCTCCTGGAACATTATACAATGACCTCCTCATTTATGTGCTGCCAAAACGCAACGAAATGATTCCGACATGCAGAAACTGCTAATTCAACAGCTGTTGCAGTTAAATGCTTTACGAGACACTTTGTTATCTCTGTTGTTGGTTAGCTGAGAGTACAATTGTTGGTTAATTCATTATTCATTATTCAACTGACTCTGTAGGAGCTCTGTAAGAACATGAGAGATGAAGTTGTTTCACGGCTGCTCAGTAGCCTTTTCCTGTCCTTGATTTTGAGTATAACAATACCAATATAATGTCAATCATACTGTATCTCGATTATTTATCTTAGAGCATTATAAGTTGATGTATAACAATACCATATTTCTTTGTCCTTGTAGATATGCTCATCTTCAAATTTTCTTTCTATGTAGTTGATAATGAGGCATCGCTGCCAGTCGAGGTGGAACATACTTATCCTCTAGTTGACAAGTCTGAGTACATAATGGTAAGCTCCAAAGGAGATACTTTGTCAGGTGCTTGTGTTGTGAAAATCCATCTGATTCTCAAAATTTTCTCGGGTGCAAATGGTTTCAACCTTTGTCAACTTTTCTGTGGAAAGATTCGCCCCCCCCCAACTGATTTATATGAGATGTGTCTTGTTTTGGTTGATGCCTTGCTGGTTTTGTAAGTTCATATAGGTACAAAGATGATGATCATCTGTAGTAGCTTGACAGCAGTTAACATTACACACCTTGGTGTTTTCATTTGAAAGCTATGTATCATGTGATATTGGACATGTTCTGATGGATAAGATTAGCACTCTAAAGATATTTACTTTTCGTTGGAGATTGTCTGTTCCCACCAGGATTGATTCATGGTGATTGTTTTACTGTTAACTGTTAAGGTTGATCAATCATTTGTAGTGATCTCTGAGCATTCATCCATATCTACAGGTTGAAAGAAAGCAAAACAATGTTGACTGCTTTTACTTGTCTGAAAATCTTGATGAAATTGATGGGTACACATTCTGGACACAAAGAAATGACAAGGAATATACTCGAAAAGTACGACATGCGTTGCCGGATGCTATTAATAATTCTCGTGGTAAGCCAAGTAATTTTGTCAAGTTTTTTCTCTTGCACATAGTAGAAACTTGGCTGATAGGCTCTCTTGTCCAGAAACAATGTTGAGGGAAATACAATGGTACTATTTATTAAATTTTTTTGGTGTTAGATTAGCACTAATAGATCACTGAAATAATTTTGCATTTCCTTCCCTTTGGTTTAGGTCCACTTATGAATTTCCATGAAGATCAGAGTATGTGCATGTTTTTTGGATTTGGCGCTGATGAGTATAATGGCCAGTGCACAAATTCAGAGGGTTTTACTAAGTTGCTTGGTCTGCTTGGAACAATTCCGCTACACAATGCTGATCTAGATGAACAAGCACTAGACTCAAGGTTGCAAATTATCTTTGATCATTGGTCCTCATCATGGTGTAAAAACTTTAAAATGGAAGGCTTTTTAATGGAGATGTCTGCATACTTCCCGTAGATTATGATTTCTGGCATATGTGAGACTTTGACGTGACTGTGAGTTATGCTTTCAAATCATTTTTGTGCCTCAAGGTCATGATAGAGAGTCAGTAACAAGGCTGCTAATAATTGTTCCTTGTCAGGACAGTGACTTTGTGGATGCTTGTTTGATGTAGTATTTGTCATGGTTTTTTAAGGTCAACTTGTACTTATTGTTATTTTGCTGAGACAGTTGAACTCTTGCGTGGGATGGTTTTTGTGGATTGGTGGGAAAAGTTTTCATTTCCTCTTTAGAATTATAATCTCACTGATACGTTGAGCAATTGTTCTTTTTTGGTAAGTGATCTGTTGTACCAGAGGATGTCATTCCTTGTGTGCTGCTTTAAGATTTAGTTGCCAGGTTTTTGGATATCATTTTTTATCTTCTGTTTCATTAGAAGTTGTTTGGACTGATATTAGGTACATACTAAAGAAAAGGTATGACCGCGGATCATATGGTGAAGTGTGGCTAGCTTTTAAATGGAATTGTTCCAATGTGAGCCAAAGCTTTGAACAGACGTGTAAAGATGAGAAGTTCTACTTTCATACAATGCATTTAGGGGCTTACAATCGAAGTTCTGAGACAAGCTCATCTACTGAGGATCAAAATTACGGGACTTCTCCTGATAGTATGTTCATCTTGAAGCGTATAATGGTATATTGAGTTATTTTGAGTGTCATTTTTGTCACTTTTGTGTTTTCGGTGAATAAAAATGTTACACGTGCTGGCCCGTTGCTTTTAATATATTTTGGCTGTTTCATGAGAAAATAAATTTTTGGATCAAAGGTTGATCGTCGGGCATCAATTAGACCCAAAAAAAAAAAAAGTTTTCAGCCATCTCCCTAGCCTTTCATGACAGCCACTATAATGTAATTGCCATTGTCGGCTCCCAGCTAATGGTGATTGTTGTGTAAGGTAGAGGGTTCTTAAATTTGAGAGGGTGCAATATCTTATGGTTCAACAATGGAAAACTGATGACATGAAACTTTCTAATTAGGCCCTAACACAAAAGATTCGCTGTGATTTTGACAAATCATTCACTCTTACTTATACATCCTTGTAAGATTTAATAATTATGCATCACAGCCGTTGTTTTAAGTAATGGATTGCTGCAATATTTAATTTTGTACTGCGTTGACGTCAAGGAAAACTTTCACGATGATAAAGGAGCAATCATTACTACTGGAAATTGCTATGATAAGTTTGCAGATTTTGGTTTTAAATTTGTATTCTCTGTGATTGTTGCCCTTTTTGGCAACAGAGTTGTAGTTTAATTATTCCCGAAGATATTTTTTCTTGTTTAGATTAATGAGATTGTAGGGTGCTTGCGTTGTAACTCTGCTTCTGTTTGCAATCAGGTAGAAAAGGGTGCTGCTGTCTACCTTAGTGGGTTGCGAGAGAAATATTTTGGCGAGATGTTCTTGAATGCTTCCAGTGTTTTGAGCTTTTCACCGTCAGCTGGGGTACCAGATTGTTCCACCATCAAACAAGAGAATGAAAGCACTTGGTGCGTCGACAGTACACTATCTGGAAGAGGGGATCTGATGGGAAGTTCTCAAGAAGGCGGCTTGAACCACATTGCTCGTTTTGTGGAATCTTTTGAGTCTCGATCTAATGAAATATGGCTTGTATTCCGACATGAAGGTGTTTCATTATCAAAGCTACTTTATACAGCCGAAGAAGTTCTAAATAATGCTGGCAAAGGAAGTGGTGAGAATTTTAAGCGTGTTCAGATATTGCATCCATCAAACTGGTGGCACTGGTTGAAGACAACAAAAGCAGGGCATGAGGAAATGCGTAATCTTATATTCCAGTTGGTAAGTGCATCTCCTTCTATCCAATTTGAGTATAGTTGTAGTTGAATTTTTGTAATGACATCACATTTCCTTTTATGTTTGTATGCAACATTGATCTTGTGTACATCCTACGGAGAGGTTCAGAAATTAGTTTTCTGTTTATGTTTCTAACTGGAAGATCTTTCATTTGAGAGGTTTTTTTAAGGGTAGGGAACCTGCTTATCTTTTTGCATGATCTTATTAAAATATCTCTGAGGCAACAGTTTCTGAGAGGTTCGCCTATTGGTTCATATGCACTACGCACCAAGTAGTTTAAATCTATGTTTTGTTTTCTCATGGCAGTTGATGGCAGTGAAGTCGTGTCATGACCGCAATATCACTCACAGGGATATTAAACCTGGTAAGAAGCTGGCACATTTACTAAATCTGAATGGCATTTTAGTTGCAAATCTTTGATTTTGCTAAACTGACAAGTGACAAATAAGATTTGTCCACACTTTGGAAGCCTGGGGCAGGGGAGAAATATACTTCATTTTTTTTTGTTCCCAGCTACTTTTTGACATCACTTGGCTTGTCTATTTTAAATTTCTTGCCAGAGAATATGGTCATTTGCATCGAAGATCAGGCTTCTGGACGATGCTTGAAAGGATTTCCAGATGGAGGCCGGAATTATAGCACGAAAATGTACAGTGCATTTATCTTACTGATAGATTGATTGCATTTTTGAACATTTACTTTTTCTATTATTTCCTGATGTTTGGAGCCCTCTTGTTGATTGCTGAAAGTCGATAAATACACGCATCAATCATACCGCTGCATCATATTGGGAGTAATAGCTGCCATGCTATATTGCCTATTAGACAACACCATGATGCTCAAATTTGTGCACTGAAATATGGATGAGTAGCGAAATCTAAATTCGTACACCATTGCCTTCTCTTTGAATGTAATTTCTTTTACTCTCAGGCGTCTCATCGACTTTGGGAGTGCTTTAGATGAGTTCACCCTGAAGCATTTGTACGGTTCGCTTGGACCTTCTAGGTAATCTCTGATAACTTTATTTCAACTGCAGTTCCGGTTAGGCTCTTTAGTTCCGGTTAGTCTTTTTATCATGGTATTTTTTATTTTTGAAGATCTCAAGGGACAAAATTTTGACAAAACTGTAGCTATCGAAATCCTGTTTCATTTCAGTAAGTTATTTTTCAAGTATTTAAGTAACATAGTTGCAGAATTCAGTTTCTTATAGATATTGTAGTCACTAGGAGCTTCCCGCAGTATATTCTTAGACTTTATATCTCTCTCTCTTTGAAAAAATAATCACAAAGGTACATTTGAAAGTAATCTAAATCATATAGTATTCTTCAGAATTCAGTTGGCTTTTTCTCATTTTAGTCTCTAAGTTTACCAGTCATGAATGGGAGATCTAACTTTACACTCTAATTTTGTTCTTCTCTGCCTCTAGGGCTGAACAGACATCAGAGTATGCCCCTCCAGAAGCTTTTCTGAATGCTAGCTGGTATAAGGATACAATGAAGAAGAATTTAAAGTGAGCTCAATTCTAATTAGAACTTTTTAGTTGTTCATCTTCATCATTGCTAGTGCCAGCAAGATATGGAATGTGTCTAAATAATCAGAGATTTATGTCTGTTCTCAATTTGGTTCAGGTTTGGATGTGGTTGCTTACTTGCTTTGTTCTCTGTTCCAACGTAGTCCTGCTTATCTTGGGTGTTTTGCTTATAATTATTTGCCTAGATGCATCAAATGGAGAATTTTAGGAGGATCTTGTGTTTTTTCAAGTTGCAACTGTGATCAGTTGTCTTTTTTTTTCTTCCTCTCTTTTGATGTGTTTTTTGGGCGATAGGCTGACATCCTTTCCCTCTTCTTTTTGTAGATATGATATGTGGAGTGTTGGTGTTATCATGTTGGAGTTGATTCTGGGATCACCAAATGTATTTCAGATAAGTTCAAAAACACGTGCTCTTTTAGACAAGCAACTTCAAGGGTGGAACGAGAACGTCAGAGAACTTGCTTACAAGTGAGTTTACTACTAGAATAATGAATATTTTACTTTGGTTCAAGATTGTGCCAAAATCCAGATAGATAAAGTCATCGTTTGACGATTGTGCATTTTACATATTAAGAAATTCCTCGGAGCTTTTGTTGGTTATCTAGTTATAATTTGTTTATTGCCGAGTTAAAATTTCATGCTTGTGCATTAAAGGGCTATGTATCGCTGTTTATTACTCGGCTTGTTGGTCATATCTTTCCTTAATGGTTCTCTGACGTGTTATTTCTACTGGCTTTAGAACTTTTAACTAGAATGATCTTCTTAACGGATCATGTGCCAGAAGAAACTATATTTGATGATACTGCCTACAATTTACTATGACTCTGCATGATTTACCTTGACCTAATTGAAACTTGCTTTATCTCTGGTACCAGGCTTCGATCATTTATGGAAATGTGCATTCTGCTTCCTGGAATTCCCACTAGGATTCATCATACTTCAGATACTAGAGATTATGTGAGTTTTACCCCCTTTTTTTTGAAGTGAGTTTTACTTTGTTTCAATGATGTGATTTTGTTACACCTGCCCTACCATTTCTAAATTTGAGATTAATCTAAAAAATGTCTTACATTCTAGCATTATTTTTGTGCCATCCAGTTCTAGATTTGGTTTCTGTGGTTGGAGGTGATTTGAATCTAAATGTAGAAATGCTTGAAATTCATTCTTCCAACCTTAACGTGATCCATAAGTACGATGGTAGGAACTGGGTGGTGTGCTGACATGATGTTCTATACATTTCAGGGTTCAGTTCCTCCAGTTCCCTGGAAATGCTCTGAAGAGTTCTTATTCCAGCAAATAAAGAATAGGGATCCTTTAAATATAGGGTAGGCTATCATTTTCTTCTCGGGAAAGTAAAGGACAAACAACTCTGACAAGAATCTCTGGTTTAGTTATCTGTCAAGGAACTTGCCATGTTTTTCTTCCTAACATGTTCATTTTAATAAATGAAGGTTTCCTGATGTTATGGCATTGCGGTTGGTTCGTGACCTATTACAGTGGAACCCAGTAAGTTTTGCATTAGAGAAGAGTACATTTGAACAAAATGGCTATGCTTTTAGGTGGCAGTAGTGTCGAGTGATTATTATATAAGGGTCAGCTTTTTGGCTTGATTTAGAGCTTCCTTTTCATAAGAGCACTTCATGATTTGTTATTTGTTTTCAAAATATTTTGAAAACAGGAAGATCGGTTAAGTGTTGACGAAGCTATACTGCATCCTTACTTTGCTCCACTCTCTCGAGTACACTAAAATTAGAAGTCTGATGGAGGCACAGTATCTGGGGGTTTCAAGTTCTTAAAAGGTACTACATATTTTTCTGATGTTTTTGTTCATCTGAAATTGGTATAAATGGTCACAAAAGCTTTTAGTTGTTAAGCTCTTGAAGTTATAATGCAGATTCATAATGTTGACGCCTTAGGTTTTATCCACCTGTACCGGAATGCCACACAAGGAAAGACGAACAGCTAGATTGGTGTCTTTCCTGCTGCGGGGGCAGAATCAAGATTCGACAAGAAGATATCCTACTTTGCTTGCTGAAGAGTAAGCTTGGTTGACCGAACAAACAACAAGGCCTGTCCTATTAATGGGGTTGGCTAAATATGCTTTGGACTGCCCCAGAAAATATTATACAATCTTGTGTGTTGCTGGGTAAACAAGGCAGCTCCAGAAGTTCTTGGATCAGCCACCCTATGCCAAATATTTAAACAGAGATAGCTGGCAAATACACTAGCTGGAAATGGTCCTGGGATCTGTGTTTGCTCGTTGATATAGCCTCTCGATCATATCTCTTATAGAACTGCAGCAAATCAGCCTTCAAACTTGATCCGGAAGGCTTCACGCCCAGTATTGAGTACAAATTTCTCTAGAGGCAAGAATTCCCCTCTCTCTGCCCAGTGGCTGAACCTCCGAGTCACCGTGCATCTTAACTTGAGTATAGAGATGGTCTCCAGGCTCAATTACGGTGGATGGAAGGTGGACGGTGACTGTCCTTGACCTTTGTTTTTAGTTAGTCGTGATTGTATTCACTATTCCGTATAGAGCTAACATAATAGTTGAGTTTCTTAGATAAGAAAAACTGATGTAATGAATCAAATTGCGTTTTTTTAACCCGGTAGAAAAATTTGCTTCTCTTTAACATTCTGGTTCACCTGACAACTTTCGGTAACGCTGCAGGTTCTAAATTGAAAGCTTACGTTAACAATAGATTTTTTTATTTTGGAATTGTGAACAATCGATAAAATGCATAGTTAGTCTCGTAGTAATCCTGTCCATACGCGGAAATGAGATTCATGTTTAATTTCCTCCTCTTTGAATTGACACTGATTCTACCGCACAAAGCCACAAACTCATGTTAGAACTTAGAAGTAGAGCCAATACTTTATCCACCGGTGGTCCTTAGCATTGAAACTGGGTCGAGATGGAAATTTACACCATGCTAGTGAATACATTTGCTTTCTATCCGTCTGCAAGGTTTCATTCAGAGTCCTCATGTTTTACTAAAACATTACCTAAACCAAGTAAAACGCAAAAGTGAAGGAACAAGCTTCCATTTTCTAGCAGGTAAACTATCGACCTAGTCCAGAGGAATTATAATCACTGATATGTTGTCAGTGCTGCCATTCTCAAATGCAGAGTAGACAATATGGTTAGCTAAAGCAGATGGGGTCAAACAAGAAGAGTTGCCGGACAATGTATTCTTCCTTGTGCATGATTTGTCATTTAACACAGCACAGACATCGGAAGGAGTCAGACCCTCAAATATGCCATCAGTTCCCACTACCAAAAAGCTATTATCGCTGGTTAAAGTTCGCCATCCAGTAACCTCAGGCTCAGCAATAACACCATATCTGAACAAAGAAACTGGTAAATGGAGGGAATTGAAGAAGCTATTTTACAAGCAAAATAAGAAACCCGAGAATAGTGGAAGACAGCCTAGTTAGACCGACTAAAAGGATAGACAATGTACCTCTTAAAGGTCAGATCCCCAATGGCTCTGGTCATAGCCAACAAACCGTTTACGCGAGGGACACCCCAGGTACGGATAAAACCACCACTGGCTTCTATTCGAGCTTTTTCATCTGCTCTACTTGGATTGTGATCTATAGTCAACTCCTCAGCAAAACCAGCTCTAGAGGAAATCCCTGATTGCAAGTAGAATATGACGATTCTATTTGAGAGTTTGCAAGGAACACAGTAACCAAAACAAACAAGTTCATGATTTCACTTGTTTCTGGTATAAAACATTGTACTCAAAGGGGAAATCCAAAAATAGAATAGCATGCCTTCTGCAACTTGAGAAGTTTGAGTTGGGTCAGAGCATAATAGTGCCTTTGAATCTCCAACATACCCAACAAGAGCTTGACCATTTACCAAAAGCACAACAGTTCCAGTGGATCCTGATATATAATCTTGCTTCAGAGCTTCCTGGAGAAACCAGGGAAAAAAAGAGAGGCCTAAGCAGGTAGCAACTCAAAAGGTCAAAGATCAAGTGAAAGCACATAAATATGCCTCAGAAAATTCTGAATCGATATCTTCAAACGTCTTTGTTAAAGCTTCTCTCAAAGTGCCCTTTAACAAGGTATCGCTGTCCGTCAAAGATAATGTTCCATGAGCACTGCAGATTCATCAGAACAAGGTGGCAGGAATTAGGGGATCTTAGAGTTGCATTAAACTTCAAATTGGAACCAAATATCAAATAACTCTTATCTACTCCATCACTAGTAATAATCAACCTTTTGAAGGTGATGACGCCATCTGGTTCTTCAATCAACTCGTATGACAATGCATCCTTGTAAGTTTTGAAAACAACATTTAGGAGAAAATAGTCCAAAAACTTCTTTGAAGCCAATTCACTGGCTTCAGAACCTCCATGACCATCAAAAACTGCCGCTATACCAATCGTCAACTCGTCCCCGTCTTTACCAGAATGTATGCCAAATTAGTACTGTATATAACAAAGACATTTTACAATCAAAATGAACATAATTAAAGCGAAGAAACCTTGAGCTTCAAGCTCTCATAGATGAAGCGAGAACACAATCAAGGTCTCAGAAAACATTGAGGTGAAAGTAAAAAACTCTAGTTACCACATTGAATAAAGGTACCTAGGCTAGGAATCTTCAAAGCAGAATTGCAAACAATTCGATCTTCTTGATAGTTCCTGTGCCCTTGAATGGTTGCTGAAGCAAAGTCACAGTTTGATGTAGTATTTTCGCGGGGAGAATGGATCAGACGAACCCATTCCCACTGAGGACATTCTGGTGAGAGAAAAACTGAACGAGCACCACCTGAATCATAGTCAATCATACAGGCTACTGAAACTTCAAGCGCAGAGCACAGTTCAATCAAGCACAGCAGAGCCAGCAACAGAGCAAACACCATAACAGCAAAGTTGGAACCTTTCATTCGGACGGAATTAGGTCCTGAAAAATACAAAAACACATAGAGCAGGATAATAACAGATTAGAAATGTCACCAGTAAAGGTCAATAACTCTAAAAATATCGCGGAAATATTATCATGAAACTCGAATAAACTTCCAGTACAATCACTGTCAATGCCTGATCAATGAAGGTAGTGATCCCAACCTAGCACAGACCCGAATACGATCCACCAGGGTTAGCGCTTTATGACTAAATTACCCCCACATACATTTCCCCATATCCTTCTCATCGGAAATTATAAGTTCCAACTCACAAAATACCTGAATCTAAAGCCGAATCAAATAATCATGATATCGACCTGCGGGGGTTTTTGTTTTTCAGGGATCCTGATTTTTTATTTTTTGACGTGGCGGTACACGTCGGTCGTTATCATTGTTCGTCAAATTTAGTCAACAAAAAGACTGAGAAAGACTATCAAAATTAGCACGTCGCCGTTTTACCCACCTTCCCTCCCACTTTACATATATACCCGTGTAATAAACATATAATAAACTGGCCCTCGGGAGCGTTACCTAAGAACGCTGTTATGTTTGGATCCTTTTGTTTTAGTCTGTGTTTTTAAGTGTTTTTTATATTAAGAATATAAAAAAGTATATTAGAAATGTAAAAAATTACTATGTTAGAATGAGACAATTATTATTTAATTATTTTAAAAAAAACCATAAAAAAAGGCGGCTGATCGCACGACATTAGGCTCTTCCCCTTGAACAACCATCGGTATGATCTTTGTTCTTTGTTTTCGTTTTTTCTTTTTGTCACTGCTTTAGCATGGATTTTGTGGAATGAAATTGATGGTTCCGTAAGTAGGGTTTCTTATTCCTCCGTTTTAAGTTGTTTTTTAGGTCATCTTTAGCCTGTAATTAGGGTTTCCCCTGTACCCCATCCTATTGAATGTGTTTGAGTGTGTTCTTTGCATAATATAAGCCCTGACAAGTATGTGCACCCCATCCTATTGAATGTATTTGAGTGTGTTCTTTGCATAATATAAGCCCTGACAAGTATGTGTTCTTGGTCATCCCCCGTATAAATTTAAAGGTTTTTGAGAATGGATTATATTTTCTGTGGGTTTTTTTTTTTCCTTTTTATTTTTGGGTTTGGATTTTTGTGGGTTGCGGTCCCCTTGGTTTCCTTATGATATCTTGTTTCCATAGGTGTCCTATGAAGGTGATGGCGGGGAATCAAACTGGAGTTGTGGAAATTGACAAACAGGATTTGGAAACTTTCACAGACCATTTTAGTCAAGAAAATTTTATTTGCCAGTCAGTATTGCAATCTTTACCATGGTAAGATTCCTCAAGGTTGGAAAGGGGTTAAAGGTGGAGATGTGACCGTCAAGGTGTGGGTAAAAACTGAGCACCTAGATAAGACAAATACTTGCCGCCTACATCCCTCCGAACCTGTGGAAAAGTTCAATGTTGGTAACTTTATCTCATCTTCGACTTCCATTTACTTGTTGGAAAATACTACTTTCTTTACCAACTTCATTCACTACTTGTTTTGTTTCAGCTTGAAGTAGATTTTCTCAAGTCTGACAAAGCAACTTCATGTGGTTACTTGCCAAGACTGATTGCGTATACCCATGATAATGGTGGCGAGTTCATGGGTGTCGTTTATGATCTTCAGTCGTCAAATACGCTGCGTGACTTTGTTGATAAAGGTTTGTCTTCCAGCAATTGCAGAAACCATAACATTACCTGTGATGCGGAAATTTTTTGAGGATATTTTGTTGCAAGCCCATTTAGCCTATGCTCAGTTATTTAAATTTGTGGTCATTGTGAATGGGATGTGACTCTTTTGGTTAAATTTGAAAAAAATTGAAGGAACTTGTGAATTTATAATAGTAAGAACCACCTGTAAGTTATGCATATTAGCTGGTGTGGCCGTATTCTCATGAAATGGTAAGTTTTATGTTCTCGGTACCTTCCCCGACTCATATTGTTGATATAATTTTTACTTCTTTTGTTTGCACACCCAGCGGAGTTTAAATGGCTTGAAAGAATTAAGGTAGCTGTTGGACTTGCTCGTCTTCTTAAGTATCTGATTCATGATCAGCCGGGATACTTGGTCCGCGATCTTTCTGCTGCCCACATAATGCTTGACAAGGTCTAATATCCTGATCACTCGAGTCTTTTTATTAGTTGTTTTTGTCCTAAGGCAATTTCTTATTGCAATCTGGGATTGGAACCCTGTCCTGTTCAACTATTTCATGCTGGTCAATGGGCCGAGGGATCTTCAAGGTCTTGCAGATCGATTTTTATTTGGGTCAGAGGGCTACGTTGATTATTCTTATATTTGTTCAGGTGTGTACTCTGTTCACATATTTGGATGTATTCAACAAGATTTCGTAGTTTCACTTTTTCTGCCTTAAATAATTATTTATGTCATTTGTGCCAAGGTTTCATAATCAAGGAACTATTGTCACGCACTATTCTGGGTAAAAAGAATTCTTGAAGCTGATATAAAAATCGTAACAAGAGATGGACTCTGTGTTTATGGATGTTGAATATGAAGAGACCTCATATATATACATATATGTACCAACCTGTCAGTTGAAGCTCTTATGTTGATTAGAGAAGTTCACTATTGTGTACTCTGATCTATTTTTTTGAAGCCACAGCGAACATTACACTTGATCTGTACTTCTGTTTTTGGAGGAATTATGGCAATATATGCTTATCTTCACGTGAATGTTTTGTTAGCATTGTGGTCTTGGATATTTCTCTTTGTTCTGGTAACATTTTGATACTTTACCAGGCATGCATTAGAAGCATTGGTTATTCCTGTTAGTCGTAATCACATTGGACATTACCATCAACTGAGCTTCCAGAAACGTTGTGCCTGCTATTTCTGTTAGCTTTCTGGTGTCTTACGTGCTATTTTCTGTGCAGGTTTTGTCAGAGAGTTTTCAGATGTCTTTGCGTATGGTGTCATTCTTTATGAGCTTCTTTCAAACGCAAGGTTGATGAACTCCCTGGAGTTGGAAAGCGGTTTTTTCTCCATGAACATGCTTGTATGGTATATCCCTTGAAAACTCCCCATAAAGTATCCTTTGTTGAAAAACTCTTTCGCCGGCGCAAGAAGTCTCCCGCTGAACCTGAAGTATCCTTTGTTGACCAGAGTTTGGAAGAAGGTCCTTATTTTAATGCTCGCGATGGACTGATAATCTCCAAGTTGGCAAGGCTTTGTGTGGACATTAGGGTGGGAAACCGCCCAAATATGAAGGAAGTGGTCAAGTGTTTGGAGAACCTTTCTGTTGTGAGAGATAATGTTGAAATGTTCAGCGAGTTGGAGGAGAACGTCTGCGTTGTGAGAGACAATGGTTTGGAGAACAATGATGCAGACTGTCTGAGGACTGTTAAAACTTGGTGTTGTTCCATATGACTGGCTTGTGCCAATGGTCATTGGAATATTTTTGGAGTATTATTGTTTTTAATTAATTCTCCCTCCTCACAGTAACAAGAGATTCAATTTACCTTGAGAGGGAAAAAAAAAAACCGAAAAATAGATGGTACAAAATGTCATTCCGCAAGGTTCATGAAAGGAAAGTTCTTTTTTTTTACACTGGGGATGATTTGCTTTGATTAACAAAAAAAAATTGCATCTTGTTACAAAATTTAAGAACTGGTGAGGAAGAATTGACAGGGGATATTACATTACAATACATGAAGTGGTGTTGCTCCCACTGGTATGCTCTAATGTTACAACACAAAACTCACCCATCTACTTTCTTTCAACTCTTTTTTTACATCTACCTCTCTATTACGCCCCTAACCCAGAACTCATGTCCCGGCTATTAACTCGGCTATGAAAATCAAGCATTTCTTGATGGTGCGGATCAACTGAGAGGGCGGCTCTACAATCTCGCAATGCTCCCATTACATTGTTGACGTGTTCATGGAAAGCAGCCCGAAGGTGTAACAGGTGAAGATCTGCCTTAAATGCAATCGCCTTTGATAACTCTGCAATTGCTTCTTTAGGTTGGTGGTTGTCCATCAAAACTGTAGCACAACGCGGACATGCATCAGGGGCAGCAAACAAGATGAATGTAGAATCATTAAGATCAAAACGAGTAGGACAACCAACTATTCCATATTTTCCCAAAACAAACCCTATCTTAAAGACATCCAAAAAAGATTTCAGAAGCACAATATTAAGATTTAGCAGTAACACAAAACAGAAGGTCATGTATAAAGCATCTACATTTACTTTCTTTATTTCGATTGAGGAAGAGGTTAAGAATTCGAACCTGCTGCTCGATATCTGTAAGGATATACTCGAAGAGGATCTAAAGCGGTGACCATTTCCAGATCTGCCTTTGTGAGTTCACGTTCACAATACTCTGACCTCTTCTCATAGGCAGATGCATTATTTCGGGCTTTCTCGATCAGTTTCGTCATTTCCTCATACGCTGCATTCTTATCATTTTTCAGGTAATGCACACGAGCAAGGCCCTGATGAGCTCGTGTATGCCGAATTTTAAGAGCGTTAATGTAGCAATCAGCCGCAGCATCTAGTTTCCCGCAGTCCACATAGACACTTCCAAGATTGTTCAAGGCCTAACCATTATCAAACAAAAACTGATGCATTACAATATGCTTCAGAGATGAACAGTGCATCAACTAATCCGATGAAGGAAGCTCAAAACCATCTCTACTCACAAACAGTAAATTTACAAGATTACAATACTCCAGCCCAACTTTATGCAGCAGGAAGGTGATTTTATTGAACAAACATATTTCTGATGAGACAAAATTCTTGACAAGAAAGGATTAAGAGGGTGACTTCAACAAGAAATAATTAGCTTAAGATTATAGATATTTAGAAAAGCTAACTAAATTCTTCCAAGAATCACCAGTTGGGTTCCGCAGATAGAAAATCAAAGGACATTTTTAGTTTTTAATCTGGGTTGATAACAATTGACATGTTCACTGTTCCATTGAAGGAAGTGTCATATAGTTGTAACCGAAAGTAGCATTTCATTTAGTTTCAACTGTGAAGCTGGAATCCAGAGATCCTTTCAGCTTATTTTCCCTGAGCAAGAAACAGAGCACAAGTGCACACATGACAAGCAAATCTTAAATACAAGTAGTAATAATATAATCATACTTGGCCTTTCCGAAGTCTATCCGAAGGGCACTTCAAAGCTTCCTCAAGAAGTGCTATAACAGCAGATGAACAAGATGGATCCAAGCATGAATCAGCCAAAGCATAGGCTTTCAAGAAGAAGGCTTCAAAAGATCTCTTCAGGCTAATAGACTCCTCTGCTTTCTGAAGACCTTCCACACAATGTCCTGTATCATACAAAATCCAGCCCTCATACACCAAACGTTCATGATCACTAGAAGCATTTTGGCGAGCCAATTGCAAACTCCGCATGGCTGCATCTGGACAATTCAACCTAATCAGCAGATAAATGTGGTTAAAATCAGGTCCGTTTGCACTTGAGTTTTACTCTATCTAGTGTTTCCACTTTCCACCAGAAATGCCAAAATATCACAATCAATGGTTAACAAAAGATCATCCCCAAAGCAGATTCTGAATTCTCAAAATGGTTTCAAACACAGACTGGGAGGTTTGATACTGTATAAGAAGGTGAAGGGCAAGGTCAAGGAGAGCAATGGGCAAGCAAGTGGCATTCCAAATGCATTACGGTTACATGGATGATACGAAAGCCTATTTAGCTTTGTTGCGTAAGAAAGAGACTAGTAGATTTTGTTTAATTACATCTGAAGAACCAACCACCTAATCTTGCCATCCAAAAAGGAAAAATAGCAAAAGAAACATCAAAGGAAACAATTCAATAATTTACCTGAGGAGAAGCAAAGACTGCCTGAAGTACAGAACTCCTTTAGCCGCATCAGACTCGAGCATTTGGTATATCACGGACAGTGAACCAATGTCATCTACTGACGACCATTTATCATACAATTGAAGCCAACAATCAGCAGTTGTCCAATTCTCGACATGCTCACGCACAAGAGTACGAAGTTGGGACACAGCTACGCGCCCATCAAACATCCTGTAATCCGGGGCAAGAGTAAGGATAGCTTGAATATCACATATGGCTGACTGGTAATCCTCGATAGCAAGGTAGAAGCAAAGTCGCAACTCCAAGCACTCTAATGATAGCTTGAACCCAAGAATGCGATTGATTTCATGAAGGGCAGCTTGTGCATCATGCTTCCTCATCAAGGATGCAGCCCGATACATGTAAGGGTAAATTAGAGTTGGGTCTAGCTCAGTTGCTTTCTCAAGGTCATCCAATCTGCTATCCCCGTCACTGTAAAGAGATCTCTCTTGATACATCCATCCAAGCGGTGGGTAAGAAGATATGACTGAGCTAAGTTTCTCAAAAGCACATTGTCTCTTGCCCTTTATTTGACTCAATCTAGCCAACCCAACCATGGAATAAACATGGCCAGCGTTTAAAGCAGCCTCAAAGAGCTCTTCCGCTTCGTCATACTCTTTCCTAAGGAGTCTAACACAAGCTAACTGATGAAATGCCACCATTTTCTGCCGGGCAGTTTCTGAACAGTCCACTAACTGTTCTAAGATAAGTACAGTCCTATCTGAACGGGGATCAAGGTTGAAGGAGACTTCACCCAAGAAACAGTAGAGAGAAAATGCCGCTGAGCCAACCATTATTGACCTTTGCTCCCTACTTGAACAACACAACAACTTAACAACCTGATCATCATTTAGAGAATCCGGAAGTTCATGCAGAAATACTTGAAAACATGATGCAGCAAGAACTGGAGAATTTTCTTCCAGAGCATATTCCATCAGCTCCACTGCATCTTGTCTGGAAGTAGCTAATGAAGCAAGTTTTCTATCACAACAATCCTTCAGTCTTTCACAGCAAAATTTATTGGCAAATACCATTATTTCTAGCAGAAGATCCGGGGGTACTTCATCTAAATGGCCTGAGGCGCTAAACTCACTTATGACCCTCATACCTTGAGGAGAAATATTGTTCTCAGACAAGTCGATCTCCTCAAGAAATGATTCTGTAAAGCAGCCATTAAGCATGGCATGAAATGGAGCAGAGAGGTTAGCAATCTTCTGCCTATCACACACTACTCTCTCATTTCTAACCCGAAAAGTAACACTCCCTGAGACATCCTTCCTACCTGTGATGCCAGTTGGGGGAGAAAATGAGTAAGTGCTCGAAGGCAGTTCAGCTGCAACATCGATCAACCCAAATTCCTTTGCACATTTCCCACAAGATGACATCAAGTCAGAAATGAGCTCTTCTCCTTGCTTCTCATATTTTAACCATGCCCCAAAAACAAGCCTCTCGTAAACACTACTTGATTTCAGCCAAGCTGAGTGAAGACTCGTCCGCCTCAATTTTACTTCCCCTAAACCCTTAAACACCTGATACTGGAACAAATACAGATTTGACCTCTTTTGTGGAGAACATGACTCCAATTCTTCATGGAGTTGAGCTAATACATCCACATAATCCACAGGCTTAAAATACGGAAGAACTGGAGGCTCAGGCACTTTTACAAGTGATTCTCTACCAAAATATCAGAAAGAAAACACCCAAGAATTAAACTTCACAATATTGAACTGAATTCTGTGATGAGAAGAAAAAAAGAAAAGCTAAAGTGAGGTCTATGTACTTACATGGAAGAAGGAGAGCCGGATGAAACTTTGGAAAGCTTGCCTCTTTCAACTTGAAGCCATGACTGAGGATTAATGGAATTCACATGTGTCTCCTTGCAAGACTCGGAAGGGAAAAGAGTTCCCCTCATAGGGCATAATAGATGAAGTAAGTCCCAGATCTCCACAATAGCCGATTGAGTATTTCACCAAGAATCTCAACTTCAAAAGAGCAATTGGGATGAACCCAGAAAAAAAAAAAAAAAAAATCCTAACTTTACAGGTTCCAGTAAACTTCAGCTCAAAATTTGAAACCCTGCCACTGTAGCTAAATTCATATCAAGACAGGTGAAAAAGGAGATGCTCCACAAATTTTTTTTCTACGATTCCAGTCCAGATTAAAAAAGTGTTCTTCCACTCACAAAAAACAGACGCTCAACAGAATCACAACAGACAGACGTTGATGCGAAGCGAGTTTGCCCAGAAAATTAAAAACCTCAACAACAACAACGAATGAAGAAAAGATGTGTAAAATGTCCCACAAAAGAATTAACAAGATATCAGCCAAAAGCACAAAAACAAAAACACCAAACGCCCAAAGCCAGCCAGAACAAAACAATCTCCAAAAAACAAAAACACCAGCTCGTCTGAAACTCTGAACTGAAACGAAGAAAGAAAAAGACAACCCTTTATTTGGAAAGCAATAAAATATAATGGAAGTGGTCAAAAACCAAATCAAATGACAAAATCCAGAAGTAGAGTAAATGGGTTTGAAAAATCGGGAACGGAGAAGCGTGGTCTGAAAGTGACGGAATCCAAAGGGCAAAATAAATTTCAGAAATCCTCTTTTCTTTTTCAGTAGCAGTAGTAATGGTAATGGTAAAAAGGAAAAAGCTTTCACAACTGACTTTTCTCACTGCTTTTTCTATGTATTTTTGTGAAAATGTACATTTGTATTTAACGTTAAAGTACATAGAAGGGAACAGAGAAGAAGACCTTTGATTTTGTATTCTTGTATTTAAGCCGTTGGGAAAGTGTTGAAGAATGGAGACCACATATTATACGCATCATATAGATTGAAGCTTCTTATTATTAGTTAGTACAAAAACTTAGTCCACTGACAGTGTAAGAATTAATAAAAGAGAGATTAAAAAAAATGGTGGGCTAGAATGCGACAGGTCCTCAAACGACATCGTATTATCCATGAGTTAGTGGGTAGGTTGGGTGGGTGGGTGGAGGGGTGAGGTGAGATGTCGTTCGTGTTTTGGTGTGCTCAGTGCTAAATAATGCTGAGGGCTTAATGGTGTAATACAAGTTTAAGTTGTAAAATAATAAGAAATGTTATCCAAAAAAGTATTTGTAATTGCCATATCTATCCTCCTATTCTATCAACCTATATCATTTGATTGGATGGACACAACCATTATTGTGGTATTTACTAGGGTTTACTAATCATCTAGTGGTTGAATTTTGGTGAGTATACCGACAAGTTCATCAATCATGCACATAAGAGAATCAAATAAGAAGAGGTGAAAATAAAATGTAACAATGTGCCACATTATTTGAACAGAATAAAACCATTGAGTTATGCACATTATTTAGCATGATTTGCTTGGATGTTTGATGTAAAGTTTATTACAATTTCTACATATTTTTGTAGTAGAAAAAGTTATGTACAAATTAATTGTCACTAAGTAACTACATCGATAAATAATACTATCTTTCATCTAAAAAGAAATTAAAAATTGAGGTTTAAAATTTACACAAACTATTTTTTTTTAATAAATTATAAAAACTCACTACTTGACCGGATTATCTCATTGTGCCAGACGTCTAATACCACGGCTTAAAAAAAAAAAAAAAAAAAAAAACCCAATAAGTTCTTATAAAATTAGTTTTATGATATACATGTCTCACCTCACTTATCATTTGTGTGTTAAACTTCTCATATTTCCACATTTTATTTTGTTATATGAACTCCAGCCGGTGGCCTACATCTTGTACTATTAACTATGCCTTCTTAATCCCTACATTTGAAGTCAGATTTTGAGGGTAAATCATAGTTTAGCTCCCCATATAATCTACCACGTACCTCATCCTCATATGGAGAATGTTGCACCTAGATCTTACATAGTTGTACGTATCCAATGAAGAAGAAGAAGAAGAAAACTATTATGCCTACGTAAAAAGGGGTATGTTTGTTTTTGCATCCATCTGAAGTTATTCTTAGTCTTGGGTTCGTTTTTTTTTTTTTTTTTACAGACAAATGTTATCAGTTTCAAGACGTTTTTCCAACCCCGACAATAGTCTCAAGCACATGGAAAGTTCCTAACAGCTTTCTATAAACTTTTACGATGTCGTTGTTTCTCCGCTGGAATATGTACAGTACTACGGTCCTCACCAAGGAACAATAAAAATCTAATGCTTATATTCTTTTGAGTGTATTTATCCTCAAATTTGCTCTTTCTGTGTCGCTGTTTTTCCACCTCTTCGTACTGACTACAACTAAATCTAATTCTGACAGACACACTCTAATGGTTATGGGACGATGTTCACTATTTCTTCCGTCTCGTTTTAACATTATAAACAACGAAATGAAGTATTAACATGAGACCAGAAAGATCTGGAGCACAAAAACATTATTAGTCGGGCACCGATGATGTCAACTGTTTCTGATTGCTTCCGGTTGGACCATGTGCTTTGTCATGGACAGCAATTGAAGAAAAACATGTAAGATATGTCATTGCAAGGAAAAATGTGACAAGAGATAGAAACCGGTAAGAAGAACCATTTTGGTGGAGAACGAGAAACTATGAACACCACATGCCAAACTCTTTCATTCAACCACAAAACCCGTCCCGATGTTTCCGCCCTCTTAGTCTCAGTTCATTTGGAACTAGTTTTCTAGTATTTTTGAACTGCAGAAGACCAGGCCAGGTCCAGAAGGGTATCATATCATCCCTTGTAGTTGTAGTCACTCTCACTTCAACCTTTTGAAACCCGTGAATTTATACATGAGTTTTTGACCAATGATTGTGATATGGTTGTCGTAGTAAATTTTCCAACGACTTGCTTCAAAGCTCAAGAGGTCAGTGTGTGATGCATTCTGGCAGCCTAATCCCCCCAAATTTGGGTTGCTTTTAACTTTCAAGCTTTAGGGTGACTCGTCATCCTAGTGACCATACTAAAACACAATTGGGTTTTCCATTGACCAACATAGAAAAGAAGCCTGTATCTTCGTCACCTATGACATTTAGAATCCGACAGGGGCCAACGACCCATTGCAAAAATCAATAATTTTTAGACTTCGAGAGTTTGAAAAACAAATGTAGAAACGGATAGACTATAATAAAGTTTTGCTTTAACCGAGAAGAGAAGGCAGAAACCGAAGACTTTCTCCCCCTAGTAAGATCGCTTTTCATAAGCCAACATAAACTGAATCCTAGGACTAATAGTTAGCAGTATTATATTATGTTCCCTTCCGCAACACATTGTCAACCCTGATGTTAATTTGGCACAAGTAAAGAAGATCAATGAACAAAGCTACCCAGACACTAAGAACTAATGATACAAACAAAATGAAAGCAATTGTAATAGCCGCTCTGGATTTGGCTTTTACGCCGCTCTCAACTCGTATTCCTCAGTGATTTACATCTCGTAGCCTAAGAAAACATCACTAAATTAATGTGGTTACACTGCAACTTACGTCAAGTACAAGTATCAGTGGAGCTGACAATCTGGAGTTATCATATTACGAAGCTAGAACTTGTCCGGAACCTGTAAAAGCCCTAGCATACTTCATCCTCGTTAGGCAGAGTCAGTGACCTATGAAGATCCTCAACAACCAAGTGACCTGTGAAGATCCTCAAAAACCAGTGTCATGAAATAGATATTGCCACCAGGAGTAAAAGTCAACCACTGATCTCTTCATCAGCGTCAAGGCCAGTTTCGAGTGAAACACAGCAAAGCAAAGTCAAGAAACTGGCCCAGAAAATTCCCTTTCTTCAATTATGAAGAAAGAGCGGCAGCCTCAAAGAAACTGTCAATCTCAAATGCAAAAATATTCCTCAAGATCTGTAGCAAATCATCTGGGTAGAATCATCTCCTTTCAATGTGGAATGTGAGACAGGCTAATTATGCACATCATTTGACGATGATTTGCCTTCATTTTCTCACATCTGAAGATCAGCAAAATATATAGTACAGTAATAAATTAAGGTCAATTCTGATATCATTCAGAGTTCCAACCACAAAAATGATCAAGTTAAAAAGTACATCAAGGGTAGAAGACAGGAGGACTGTTACAGTGACCGCAAAAGGAAAAAATGAAGTAATATTTTCATAACTAGGAAAAGATATCAAACACCAATAAACAACATATATGTTCATTGAGATTCTGCAGCTGTATTTATTTATGGCTTGTCAGAGCCAATCGATTACAGAAATAGACATCTCTATCTATATGTGTAGAACTCTATCACAGTTAAGAAATGGGCAGCAAAAATTTCTACATGTAATCAATTGCGATTAACTTAGGAGATAGGAAAGGATCACAGGTCCTCTATGTTATCATATCATGGTGGTAATGACTTTTCCAGTAAAAAAAAAGATTTCCAAATGGTAGTTCATCATCATAATAGAACTAAATAGTAGAAAAGTGGAATCAAATCTTTCGCTTGAAGACTAAGGCTATGGCAAAAAAAACAGTAGTTTCAAGCTCACAAATTAATCGTTCATGCTTGATCAACGTCATTCAAATGCAGTAATACAGGGTGCGGAAGAAACACCACATGAGGATTACCTCTGTTGTTGTGACCAGAAGGCAAAATAGCATTCCTGGTTAAACTATCCTCCATTGAATTGCATCTTATAGGTGTCTTGGGAGGTCTTACAAGCTGCGGGGAGCATGGGTCACTCCTACTTGACTGCTCACTTGGAATGTGTTGTCCCATCTGATGGTTTAGATAGACGTCCAAGCTGGTGGTTGACGTCATTCCTGCCTTTTTCTTGCTCTTAAACCTTCATCTAACAGAGTCGTAAGCAACAAAAACGAGCATACAGAGTGCTTGCAATTTTTTTATCTTTCTTGTTAAATGTCATTAACAAATATACTGTACCTGTCTTTCCGCTTCTCAAGGTATCTTTGAACTGAAGCCTTTCTGCTTGCTGGAGCTTCTGCTGCATGAAAATAAAGTATGAAAAACAAAAATCCATGAGCACTTTGCCTAAAAAATAGTGGACACAAAGTTCCATTTTTGAAAACATCTGTTATTCGTCATGTGAAATCAGTCAGTTCTAAAGCTTATACAGTAACTGAATCTTCTCAACTCAATCAATAGATCATCTTTTAACCACAATAAACACAGAAAATAAAAGGATTTCTGCCGGAAGGCACATTAACCAGTGAAGGAGCATCCATGAAAAGTTGTTAGATAAGCATTACAACAACTAGACTTTTATACCACAATATGGATTCTAGAACATAAGCAATCTGCACATAAAAGTCTTAAAGGACAATAAAGCTTGGGGAAAGAATAATCATGGGTGCAGAGTGTTAGGATTTAGACCCTTTTCAGTTTTCTTTAAGATTCTGGATGACAGTCTAGCTGGATATTTGTATATGAAAGAAAAAGGATACAAACAAAACAGCACAAAAATGGAAGGTCTTTCCCCGTCTAATTTCTGTTCTTGCACAGTACCCTTAACTCTAAGAAGACCAAATTTATTTATCTCATTGCTTTGGGCTGCAATTGCTGGAAACACAGATGAACTAGTATCACTGCAGCCGTAATCCTAGTGAATACAATTTTTTACGAACAAATGGTGCTACATAAAGAAAGACACAAAGATCACAAGTAGTCATCCATGCCTATTTGATACAGAGTACCACATCCTTGCTTAATGAATATGGAAAGGCACTGGAGAAAAAAGGATTCCATTAAACATTAACTATTACTCGTGAAAAGGGCAAAAGTGGTAGGCAAATCAGCTTCTCTTATTTGCTTAAACTAATTAACGTGCATCCTTTGCTTAGTTGAACAGCCATCATGAGGTACTGTATAATTTGAATGTTCCTCATCAAACACAAAAGGAAGACATTGAAGTTATGGTGATATACCAGGATTCTCATCAGATAACTTGCATTCTTCTCCACGCAGCCGAGTAGTTTCAGTCATTTTCCCTGTAAAAGAAAAATCAAGAAAGGAAATACTGTAAACACTGCATTTCTATTCAATATCTTGTGAACCAAAATAACTCCATTCAACTTAATGTATAGAGAAACAAAGCTGAAAATAATTGCCAGCCTTCTCAATCTATTACTTAAATTTTGCAAGTCTTTTGGCTTTAAGAAGCTATAGTTGTCATCACAGAGCACTTAAGCACACCATATCATCACAGACTCAACAAATCCTTCAAGGGCATAACAGAAATGATATAAAGGCCAGAATGATAAAAGGATTAATAACCTGAATGCATATTCGGCAAAAGTCGAACAGCAGAATCTGGAATGGCTTTTACACTCATGTCTTGTAAGTGGTATCTAGATTGCACTGCCAGAGAATGGTCAAACAGAACTTCCTGAGGCAAAGCGATTGGGCTTGCAGCAAGTTGCATAAGTGCATGCGCCTAAAATGACATAATGAAAGATAGTTAAGAGGGGAGTAATTATAACTCCCACAAATAACAAACCAGTTATGCATTTTACGGGACAGATTGCTCAGTACCTTGTCAACTGGGATATCATCATACACGTTCACTCTACCGCAGTAGAAGATTGTCATTTGCCCTGCAGGCACATTGGAGGAAGCTGCATTTCTGGGGATAGGGGTTGAAAAGTAATTAGTTACATGCTAACAGGAGTTGAAGAGCATTAACTAAATAAGTTTTATCTATTATGCCGAATCCTGGCTAGACACGATTTGTACTTGGACAGCATATCATAACTGAAGAACGAAAATAAAGAGTTTTATGCAAGATAATATGCAGAGAGGAGATAAACGTAATAGAGTTGAATAAAAGTATCTCCACCAAATCAGACATAATAACTGGGCCTATAGAAATAGTCATTTATTTTTTAAAGATTTAAAATAAGCTCATCTAGACAATAGATTCAGCTAATGGTAGATCATTATAGTGCATCAAATGCAGTTCCACTTCATCATGGGAAGGGTTCAAGAAACAGAGAAGTAAGGTATCCGGACAACAATATATTTTTTTCCCCCTTTTTTTGTGTTTGTGGAAACAGCTAATATCTTAGTGCTATTTTGAGGATTACATTACACAAACTTGCCAATGAGCAAACCAAAATACAACACCATAGTGTCAAACACAAAGGTCCAATTAAGAGCAGTGAGATTCACAGTGATTTTATATTTTTCACAAGGACATAGTAGTTGGCATTTGCATATATAAGTATGATGATAATGAACGTGTCATAAAACCTTAGACTATGAATGATTTTCAATGATGATGTGAGTATCATAACTCGCCAATTAATATGGAATCAACCACCATAATAATACCATAAAAAAATCCTGATATTAACCTTGGCGGAGACAAGCCATTGTCATCAACAGGTATACTGCTGCAAACATCTGGCTTCTCAGCCTCTTTCCTTGGATAGGACGACAACATTTCTTCAGCTGATTCAGACATTTCGTCGTCGGCACTGGTTGCCTTAGAGGGCTACATTTTGGAAGTTGGATTGTAAGTTGTTAATAATTTATCAAGACAGCTTTAAAAATAGACAGTAACAGATAGTAAGAATTATCAATTAAATCAACGTTTGCAACAACAAAAAATAATTAATATAATAACAAATTTTAAAGGCAAAAATTAGAATGACAAATATGATTAGCACGCACATTGTTCGAGGTATTTTCGCTTTTAATATTATCATCAAGACGGGGACGGGGAATGTAGAGCTTCCTGCGGTGGTTGTTACTGGCAGAGTCGGCATCCGGCGTCGTTTCAAGGAGTGTCTTGAGCGAAATAACTTGCTGGATCGCCTGGGATTTGTTCCACGAGGGGCGTCTCATCCCTGTATGGAAATTCCCGCAGAAATTGTCATATCTAAGCAGCTAAACAAATCCTTCACGTGACTCAAATTTAAAGTATTCTTTGCCAAGAAATAAACTAACTCCGAAAAAATCAAAATCATCACAGCAGCAGCATTACTTTATTCAAACTTTCTACTCTTCCGAAATACTATAATATTAAAAGCCAAAAGGAACGAAAAGGTACTCTTAGTCGTCTAGTTTTTTTTTTACCTTTTTGCTTGAGGTAACGGCGGCAATCTTCCCGTGTGAGCTGTGAAATGTCGTCTTCAGTAAGCAGGCTGAGAGGCTTGTCGAGCGGCGACTTGGCGAGTGTATCTTCCGGCGGCATGGCGTCGGAAATTGGAGTGGAATTCGACGAGATCGATCTGGCGGGGAGGAATAATAAATCAGTAGTCCAGTGCCAGTGAGAAGAGGCGGTGAAGTCAGTAAGGAAAATTCAGGACTGAGGAAAGGTGGGAAGTGGCGGCCGGAGTAAGGGGGAGAGTGTGTGAGTGCGTGTGCATCGGGAAATTGGCCGCGGCGTCGCCGCTATGTTTTCGGTGCTTTTTTTCTTTAAGTTAACCATGAAATGGGGGGGCATGGGGCACCAAGGGTACAACCCCAGGACGCCACGTAATTGTTTCCTGGCGATTTTACGGTTTTCTCCTCCCTCGTCCGCTAATTTTACAACAGAGTTCGTCACCCTCATAATTGTTGCCACATAGTCGTATATTCAGGGGTACAACCACCACCACCACAATACACATTACATTATGTAACGTTTGCATACTACTCTCGACGTCATCATCGGGAATGTGTACCAAAAATGATGAAAATTTATGTCAAGAACAACGACTTCTCTCGATTCAAATTTGGAATTTGGAAAAGTGATTCGAGACACCATAAACATATATAAGGGTATGTACTACACAATACGAAATGAAATGATGAGTTTTGACCTAAATATATTGAAATTGATTATAATTTCATTATGTCATGTTTTATAATTATTTTAGTAAAATCGGTTATTATCTTATTCCAAAAAAGAGTTCACATATAGTACAAATGTCAAAATTCAATAATTTTTTTATATTGTGGAGTGCATATTATGTATTGTTAGACTAAGTTTCAACTTTTTCTCCAATTCTTTGAAGTTTCTTGGAGAAAATTCTTTATGATTAGACTTAATTGAACTAGTTTCCAAAAGAGCATTTTCAATGTAATTAAAGGGGTTGTAATAAAATAATAGAAATTCATCCGCCCTACATACAAAATTAAAAGGATTGTGATTCACGTTGGGAGTAAGTAGAGAACCACTATTGATCCTTTTAAAACAAAAAAAAAAAAAAAATAAAAAAAATTAAAAGAGTTGTGATTAAGTGATAGAAATTCATCCGCCCTTAAAAAGTTCGAAAGTTTAAAATTCATCGCGGTCCATAACACTTTAATTTTTTCAGTAATTATTTTATGAATTGAGGTATCAGTCGTAAATTTCCCATATAATTATAATTAAAGAAAAAAAAAACAGAACAAGTCTTTTCACCAATCCAACTCCTCTAGTCTCTAGCCACACATATGTTGATGTAAGTCACTAATTCATGTAAATATTATTTTAAATCGTTCAATTATTTGTGGTATTATTATTGCAGGTGGCAACTAGTATGCACAGTTACGTATCTTCAACTCTGTTTGCGGTTATAGAGGTCATTTATAGTGGTCTTGAATCCTCTTGTAGATTTGAAGTTGGATCTCCTACCCAAAGAGTTACTTTCCATTGGTAAAATCTTATCAGTTTTCTTTTTTTGTGAGGAACTCTTTTTGGGGCAAAAATGAGATAAATGTACAGAACCTCAAATTACAAAGTTCATGCATAAAGCACTTCAATAATATTGTGTTTAACAACGACTTAACTTCTTAAAGAGAGTTGACTATTTATACAATCTTCAAATTTGAATTGTGTGTAAAGCTACGACGTCATTGAATGATGAGAATCTATCTAATACAAAATGTGTAAAGCACAATATTGAGGATTAAACATATATATTCGCTCCAATCATTTCTATAAAACCAAATCTAAAACTATTTAGTTTTGAATGGTGTGACTTATGCAAAGGACAATTGGGATTGATTTTAAATCATATAAATTAAGTAACGCCTAAAGCTATTCTTCCGTCCTATATAATTGTTTAAGATAATCATTTTTTTGACCGAGGGAGAAGAATACAAAAATAGACAAAAATTTTGTATTTCTTCCGTCCTAGAAAAAAATCCATATTGAATTTTTAAATTTTTATTATTTTTAGTACAAATTCCAAAACTCAAAATAGACTATTTTTTTAGAGACGGAGGGAGTAATAAATAATAAGTTTAGGTGTTTTGACGCGAAAATAACAAAAACCAAGTCAGCATAAAAGAGTTAAAGTTAGCATTGACTGATTTTGTGGCCACCTCAGTGTGGTAGAATAAATATTGAATTTTCCCCGTACATCTATAATCAATCAATTGAAATGTGCGTGTTTTGAAATGTTATGATTAAAACATTTGAAATTGACATCTAATTTGAGGAGTATCAATGGTCAACCCGGATATCTAGAAGGATATTGACCTGATATTATGTTGTTCAACCACGTGTTAGAAATCGTATAAAGTCACTGTTTGACTACCAATTTCCTTTGTTGCTAACGTTGTCGCCTTCATGTCGATGCTCAAGTCATTCGAATGAAATAGGGGCAAGAATCATTGTAACAATCAATAAGAGTGAATTCCATCCTCAAAACTTAGAAAACCAAAAAAAAAGAAACATTTTTGTGACACAGTAGAATCGGCAAAACTTATAAATTTTGACCGGAAATTCATAGGCATACGGACAGGATTGAAAATTAGCAGTATACACTCATGGAGGAATGACTTTGTAGCTACGCTGAGGAATGTTCCGAAAAGTAGCCCAAATAAGGTCAAAGTAGAGCGGGAACTGAGCCACCGCAAAGATGGTCACCGGCAAGCAAGTGATGGCATACACCGGGAAAGCCGCGTACTTAAGCTTATCTTTCAGGACAAAGAAGTGGCCGGAGCAAAACGAGATTAACATGGAAGTAATCGCTATGAACAGCGAAGTCAACCCCAGAAGTAACTTCTTGGGCAAGTTCTTGCCGAAGTCTCGTTCTTGGTAGCGGGACGTGAGGATGGCAAGAAACATGACCACCGACGTGACGGAGAAGCAGAGCGCGATGAGCGACGATATCGCGAACACGTCGAATGCCGGTTCGTTTTCTAACGTTGGGGTCCCGATGTCTTGCTTGACTCCTCCGGGTACGGTGGTTGCCGTGGCGAAAGCCACGGTGGCTATGAGGGCCGCCACCACAGAGCACGACTCCGAGGTGTTGGTCAGCCAGTCGCCGCCGCTCTTGACGAGATCCTTGTGTGTTTCCGTGAAGATTTCTCTGGGAGTTTTACCCTCCTTGTTGTACCGTACAAAGAAGTGGAGTGGCATGGATTTCTTGACATACTGCACATACAAACAATATTTTATGATGTGTTATGGGTGAAATGGTGCCGTGAGTACTATCTCAAAGAGCACTCAGTATGGGATTATCAAACTAAGACAGGAGATAGTTGGTCATGGAAAAAATTGATGAAAATTAAAGATGTGATCAAGCTTGGAGTACAGGGAGGTAAGTGGGTTGCAGAGAAGGATGCGAACTACACCACCAGGTCTGGTTATGAATGGTTTAGAGGATCAGGGCAAAGGTTTCCTGCTGCCTCCATTATTTGGAGTAAATGTGTTCTGCCAAAACACATTTTCATACTGTGACTTGCTTTTAAAAGAAGATTCTTAACAGCAGAGAGAATGCAGCAGCTGAATATTATACAATTCCTAGTGACATGTGTGCTGTGTGGGATCGAGAATGAAAGCCTGGATCATCTATATTTTAAATGTGGGTACTCTCAACAGGTATTGCAGCAGATTCAGGGATGGTTGATGTGTAAAAGTATTCCTGACAACTTGAGTTTATGGGAAACTAGGCTTCGGAAAATCTGGAATCAAAGTAAATGTAAACAGATGGTGATGTTTGGTGCAGGTGCAGCTATGGTATACCATTTATGGTAGCAAAGAAACATGATTTTGCATGGAGCATCAGTCAGAAATGTAAATGAAGTGGTAGAAGCAATCAAACAGGAACTAGGGTATAGAGTTTAAATGAGTTGTAAAAAGTATAGGCCTTCTGAAAAAAGTTATATGCAACTTATAGGAGTCATGTAATAGCAGGGAAGTGAAGATGCATAGCATAGAAACTATGTAAGGAAAACAGGATCATTTGTGTTGATAAGATTAATACAATTAACCTTTCACACAAAAAAAAATAATATTTTATGATGAGTTAATATTTTTTTTAATATATTACCCACTCGGTGTCCAAAGCCATTGCCCTGACTAGCTCCGGATCGAGCTGGATAGATCTCTTTTGAGAAGTAAAATTTTTCCAACAAATATTAATAATAGTACTAATCACAAATAACAACTGTAATATTGATGACTATTTTTATGAGACGATGGAGAAAGTAGTCTCTATCGAAGTGGCTCTTATTTTGGAGGCGGGACTGGTTAAGTTTGAAAGAAATTATAATACCTCGTACCACTTGATCTCCCATTGCATTTGCAAAGCTGCGCCGGGGATGAGCCAAGGTCTGTGTTCCCCGAGCTTCGCAGCAAGATGTAGCGCGCTGTTTCCGTCCTTATCGATTTTGCGGAATATGGAATCTTTCATGATTTTCATGTTGAGTAAAAGCTTGTAAACGTGCGGTTGCCGATTCTCCACGGCCAGGAGGACTATGTTTTTCTTGTCGGAATTCAGGTCATGGATAGCTACCGGAAAAAGTTGAAGAATTTTTTCCACCATCTCAGCAACACCATTTTTTGCAGCTATCAAGATGGGCGTCTCCTTCTTCCCCATTCCCCTGCTGCTTGTATTTTCACCTTCCACAAAAGAAATTATATGGTTAACCAAATAAAATAAGATATTTGGTCTAAATCATGAGGATAAGAATATCCAAGAATTTATCAATATATTCATCATCAAGCTAAGTGAACATATCCTTAGATGGAAGAAAGAATTAATGATCACCAAATTGGATGTGTTTGGTAAGCTTATTATTACCATTTGCAGCATTGTTTCCTTTATGATCCTGGTCTGGATTAGCTTGATCATCGGAAGAGTCTACCTCTGGTGGCGACAAAATCCCATAATTTGAAAAGAAAACATCCCCGCCATCCGCAAAACTATACGGTCTTGTTGATCCGTCATCTTTGATTGAGAGCAAGTGCTGAGGATGGCTTCCATTATCATCATATTCATATGTGGAAGTACGTTGAAGAAGTTCATCCAACACCTGATTAGACCATACATGCTTCTTTTTCCTCTCCTCAATCTTCACTATTTCTCTTGAACCTGTTTCATTCAGTTAGTATGAAAATTAATTCACTCTCACTGAAAATGACTCCATAAATATTAATACTCACAACCTTACATCGTGTAATATATAGCTTATAGAGAAACAAGAAGGTTGAGGTTGTTACCTAAACCTAGGACGATAAGCATTGCCTTGGACATAAACTTCACTGCTTCAAAGAAAGTATTGTAATTAGCAGGAAATAAATGAAGTTTCTTCCTGTTGGGATCCTCCATATCTGATTGCTGCCCGGTATCTTTCTTTCCAGCGCCCAATGCTGCATAATCAGAATGCAACCACAGTACTGATCAGTATGTTTATAATTAGCTAGTACTCCCTCCATCACGAAATTATTGTATCCAGTTTGGATTTTCATTTTTAGTACAAATTGAACTAAAAGAAAAAATCTAAACTGGAAAATAATTTTGGGACAGAGAAAAAATTTGTGAAAGAGGGCAATCATTTTGGGATGGCGGGAGTATTAAACAAGGGTATATAATTTGACCTGATGTCCAATTTTGTTATCCGCACTCACTCACCGAGTAAGCAGAATATTTTGTTGACAAGCCAGGCAAAGTTAACGCAGGCTTGATAGTTTTCAGGATATTTGGCGCTTTCGAGGTATTCGAGTTCTTGATACAGAGGGTGTTCATCAGAGAATCTATGAGGCACCAATTCATCCACAAATATGCCTGCAAATGAAAATGCATGTTAATCAATTTGTTCTTTCTTAACTTTTTCAAGATAATTAGGATATATAATTTATAAATGTGATGAGAAAGACTCACATAGATATATGATTTTGTTAAATCGTCTGGAATGGCTTCCACTTCTGAAAGCTGAAGGTTTGCTAGCTAGAATGTGTAGTGGAGAGAAACCTTGTTCGTTAACGTAGTTTACCAGTTTCTCATAGAGATGAATTATCTGGTAGGCCAAATCTGTCACCGTTGCATATATCCATATTACTAAATAAAAATAATTGAAGCTCAAGACCAATCCAATTAGTAAGAAGAACAAAAATTAAATGATTGATAGAATCGAATTAATTTATAGTTGGAACAAAGATTACGTACCGAAATACTCTCCAGCGATGGCGCAGTGGAGAATGGTTTCGCCATCATTTCTCCGGCAGAAAGAATACCCCTGTTTACTTCCACAAATGGAATGTAAGCAGAGGAAAGCATCTTTCCTTCCATGAAGAACCGCCAGGAAAAACGGCGTCTCGCTGTCATGGTTCCGGCAACCAATGAGTTTCAGGTCCACATTCGCGATGCATTGGCACATTGGAACGCTTCCCAGCGCGGCCGCGAGATGAAGCGGCGTGTTCCCTCGCTCGTTTTCCGTCGCAAGGGCTTCCAAGGCATGGCCGCCGCTGATCCCTTCATTCCCAATCACTTTTACAAGCTCTTGAACCACTCCGGCTTGCCCGTCCATCGCCGCGATATGCAACGCCGTGTCGCCGGTTTTGGTGATCTTGGCACTGTGAATTTCGGGATGTTGTTTGTATATGTTGATTACTTGTGTCCAGTCGCCGCGCATTGCTGTCTTGAACAAGTTTTTCTTGATGTCTTCCAATCCAATCATATTGGAAGACGACTCATCTGGCGGGCTGTACATTTTTTTTTTTTTTTGGTAGATTATGTTCAGTAATCTGTTTTGATACTAAAAATACTTAGAAGAGTGTCATTTTACTAACTGTCGCAACTCACAATATGTTAGCCTAATATCGAAAGTGCTACTACCTTAAAAGCTAGTACAAAACCACAACTTTAAGCCTCTTTTCTCTTTATTCGTTACTAAAAAATGAAGTTTCAAAAGGACTATGAGCGGCGTCACCTTAACGTTAAGTTAAAATGGGTGACCTTGTGCCTTGGACCCTACCTTCAGTTCTTATGCGTTTAGGTTCTCAATGTTTGAAAATGTTCAGATTTGTAATTGACTTCAATGTAGATTGACTTAAAAAGAAAAAAACGTTATGCAATGTAAGAGACTAGACGTGAGAACTGATTTTTCGTATATAAAATTGAAGACCACAACGGAACATAACTCGAAAATGAGGGGCCAATTAATGGGAGTACTTTCATAAAGAAGCAGATGGAGAAAGATGCTTAGCCCACTTTCTATATTCCTGTAGCTACAACGTTAATCACGGAAAGCTACAGTATCTTCATTTTTCGAATTAATTTTTGAATCGTGTGGAGCAAAATGAGTACTTCCATCGTAATACAACCAGAACCCGACCTCATCAGCTTCTTTTTCCTCAAATTGTTAGTAATGTAATTCTTTAAAACATTAATCACACTTCCTTTTTTCCATAGTATGATTCTTGAATTAATCGTCTCAAAAATCTCTATATAAAACTTCATCAGTGCATAAACCCTTATTAATAATTAAAAATTGAAGTTGCATTACATAAATCATATAATTAATAATAATAATCCATACAAGAGAAAATACTAGCAAAACTCAACGCTTACACATTTCACAATCATACGAAATTAATTAAACTTCGAAAAAGTAAAGTAAAAATGGCATGCATGAACCACCCAACATATATTAATCCATGTTCATCTTATTCTCTCCTCCAATTTAAATGTCGATCTTCTCCACCATAGATTTGCATCTCTTCAAAGTTGACTTTCAAGCCGGAATATAGATAATGGGGTCAAGAGTTATTGGCGCCGCCTTAGGATTATTAGTAACACTTACTAAATCAGCTTCATCCACTTTCAAATAAGCCTTCATGAACGCCACCACAATTCCACCAACACCTTTCCTCATCAAATACTTGGGCTGAGATCCGCCTTTGCAAAAACAAGCCCCGACCTTCGCCGCGCCGTCGTCCAAGATGCTCATGTGGCCGTACTCCTTAGCCAGGAAGTAGCAACATGGCGGCTTGCACTCGTTGAAGAACTCGGCGTGGTTGACTCCCTCCGGGGCGCATGGCGGCATCAGGAAGTTCTTCTGCTGGCTTCCCAACCCCGTCCCGATCACGCCGACCGGGATTTCTAAGTCGAATGATCGGGGAATGTAGTTGAGGATATTCGGTTTGGTCCGGAACAGCGTGTTGTATCCGGCGGTCGGGTCTATTCCCATTAGCGCGGAGAAATGGAGTGAGGATTCGGCTTTTCCGAGCGCCAGGCAGAATGCGGCGTTTCCGCCGCGGGAGTGGCCTACCAGACCGACTTTCGTGAGGTCGATCTTGACGGCTTCCGGGAGGACGGACTGAAGCTCCGTTGACATCCAGCTTGTGACTGCGGCTACGTCGGCGATTTCTTGAGCTAGCTTCGTGAACATGCTGGTGTACAACTACGTATATAGGGAAGAAAAAACGATAATTCGAAATTATACTAATGCACTAATGCAAAACGTATATTCATAATTTCAAAATTATGGACCATACATGACTATATAAGTAAATCCGTCACAAAGTGAAAATTTACAAACATGATATTATTTTCAGAGAAAAATATAATAATACGTGACAAATTCATACATTACCGCGTTTGATAGTATAATTATCCCAAAACTCGTAGCATCACATTGATTAAACAGTACAAAAAAATCATTGTGAATTTATCATATTGTTACCTGAGGAGCAACAATGACGAAGCCATGGGAAGCAATGTGCTGAAGGAGCTGAGTGTAGACGGTATTAGCGCACATATAGCCATGAAGGAAGAGGAGGACCGGGAAGCTCCCTTCTTCAGTTGGTGCAACGATAAACAGCGGCTTGGTTTTCCCATTTGCAGTTGATGGATTTTCCACCTTGAAGCTTGTTATACTCAAGTTTCCGGGGTCGAAAACCGACGATATTTGCGGGATTTCGACCGGCTTCGTGCTGTTGGAGTCCAAGACTTTAGCCATTATCACAAATCTTTTTAGATGATCCGCTGTTATTGTGTGGGGATTGATAACAGGAGATTTGCCTGGTTTTTATATTGAATTATTGATTTAATGGACCCGGAAGAAGCCGGTCGGAGTTACTTTGTTTCTGTCCGGAGGAAGGTTCCGGGAACAGAAATTAGTGGGAAGTAAATCCATAGAGTATGTTCAAGTCGCGTAGTTTCCTTAATTGAAATGCCCTTCCTAAAAGTTATCCCCACTGAGTTTCTTAAAGTACAAAAGGATAAAACGAAGTGAAAAAGTACAAAAACTTAACACATGCAGGTGTCCCCATAAGAATTTGTATTAGACTATAAATGTAACCTACTTGTTTTATATGAATAAGAAAATCATTTATATTTCGGTTTGTGTTACTTTAAGTTTGATTAATTATGCATAATGAATAAGTAATTGTCAGTTCAAAGATTTTAGTTTGGTGACTGTCCTTTTTCTCTTAAGCTAGAGCATCATTTATATATATATAATCATTCCTTACTTTTTTTAAAGGAAAAAAAATCAAGGTTTTTGTCTACTTAATTTTTTGAATTTAATAATTACTTCATCTGTCCCCTCTAAAAAATAGTCCACATTGAGTTTTGAAATTTGTATTATTATTCAGTAAAAATACAAATTTTGAACTAAATGTAGACAAGTTTCTTGTGACAGAAATAGTGGGATTTTTTTTTTTTTATTTGGAAGGGTGAACTAATTTTTATGATAATACTGGACACTGTAATGTGTAGAGGCTGTAATGTACAGTATACATGTCCATGGTGCCATGCCACAATTTGGAGGACATCTAAAAAATCTCTCACTGGCTTACTATACAATTGTTTAGGTTTCATAGTATAGTGCATTTCTGTAGTGCTGTTGGCAGTATGATCCGATTTTGACTGATAATTAATTCCTGGACGGATTCTAGAAAAATTACTGAAATTAGGTTTTGTCACAAAAAAAAGAAAAAGAAAAGAAAGATAACAAGTAAACCGTTTTTTTTTTTTTTAAAAAAAAAGAACATCTCTAAGAATTTGGAATATCTAAACTCTCTCTAACACGGGATGCAGGTGTTGCCATTGCAAACACCATTGCAATTTAGCAACTCTACTTCTTTTGTTCTTGATAATCGAAGGATGAATAAGTAGATTGTGTAGATTACGACATTTCGGAGTGTAGTCATCCCGAGTACATCAGAGACCAAAAGTGCTCTAATTCAATGGTGGATGCAATGAGTCCTGCTAGATAAATTCGACCATTCAAGGTCTCTGAATCAAAGGCTAGTTTTGTTCTTTAGAAAACACAGAAGGCCCATTAAAACTGATACTGAAGATCATTACTCGTCGGCCCTGAAGAAACGGGCCCACAACAAACACTAAATAGCTATCATTTTGAGGGAGTCTCTTGATAGTCCACCAGCCGGCCCAAAGATTAAAAGAAATGTGAAAATAAAATTGGCAAAATGGCTTTTAAGCCTACACAACGAAAAAAATAGCACCCTGCGAAGATATTAATTCGTTGTTGCCAAATGCTCATAGTGTACGCTCTGCACATATATACATGTACATAAGAAAAAACATATATATATTAACTCCCTCTAAAAAAATAGTGCACATTGAATTTTCAAATTTGTATTAAAAACAATACAAAAATTCAAAACTCAATGTGGATTATTTTTGTGAGACGGAAGAAATATTTCATAACACTTACTGCGATACATTTTCCATAAAGACCATTCTAGTTTGATGGTAAATTTTAAGAAGTTGAATATATTCTCTTAAGAACAGGAAGAACATGTATCCAAGCGATCATTACCTAGTCCTTTTCGTTTTACTTTGGCTAAACAGAAAGCACGATAATGTTTTAGTTTGTCGATTACACGAAGTCAATACGGCAACATTAAATTTAAATTAAGGCCACAAATGAAAATGGTCAAAAATGACAAAAGAACCAAGAAATGGGTCAAATGTGGCCATCGATATCATCATTTACTAAACTCAGCAACAAAAGAAACGTAGTTCACAGTTTTACACGTTAATCACCGAAAGATTCACGCCAAGTCGCTAACAAGTATGATTTTGGCACCGCAGAAACCACCTAATACAAAATCATACTAAACTTAGGCCTAAAGGAATTCCAAAAGCCATTTCGTAACATAGGAGTATTTTATTTATTTATTATTAATTTTTTAGGCACATTTCGTAACACAATCTAGAGACCTCTGGACTGGTTGTTAGGAATTTCAAGATTTAATAATATTCCATTTTTATTCGTAAATAATCCCTTTCCCACCGGAGTTCACTCGACGAGTCAAGAACTTTCTCCATCTCCCCCACCATATTCACTCACTATTTCACCCAATTTCCGCCATTTATATGCCCTACGATCAAACTCGTGCTTCCCCAGTACAAGCAATTTGAAAGTAACCGCAAAGCAGTTGTAATCGCTTCTGGGTTTTCATTCTTTTGGCAGTTTTTGTTTTGTTTTTTTTGTTTTTGTTTTTTTTTTTTTTTGGCTTTGGCTCTGATTGAAGGAAAGGGATAACTGTAACTCTACGAAACGATGTTCAACCAACCGTTTCGGAAGGATGACGTGGAGGCCGGAGCACGGCCGCTGTACCCTATGATGCTGGAGAGCCCCCAACTCCGGTGGGCTTTTATCCGCAAGATATACTCCATCGTCGCTGTTCAGTTGCTGTTAACCATCGCCGTGGCGGCGGTTGTCGTCACCGTTCATCCAATCGCTCTGTTCTTTGCCACTACCGGGGCTGGACTGGCTCTTTATATTGTTCTCATTTTCACCCCTTTCATAGGTTTGTGATCATGCCATCATTTTCACCCCTTTTCTTTATTTATAATGGTTCTTTAATTTCTGGACTCGTAGTTAATGGGTTGTTTCTTTTGTTTTGGAATCTTACAGTTCTATGTCCTTTGTATTACTACCACCAGAAGCATCCTGTGAACTATATTCTTCTAGGGTTGTTTACTGTGGCCCTTGCGTTTGCCGTTGGGTTAACCTGTGCTTTTACGAAGGGTAAGTGATTTCTTTTCTAAGTTTTATGTTTCCCCTTTTTAATTTAATGAGTGTGTTGTGTCAGAGCAATTTGTGAGAAATAGTAGCTTGTGGAAGGAGATTGTGACCTCTATATGTTTTATGGTTAATGAAGGAACATCCATTTCTTGCTGTGTTTTGAATGAGTGATGCAAATTAAACGCGAAGACATGATTGTATTGGATTCGTTAATATGCATGGATGATGAATTAGGTTTTTGAACATGTTGTATATGACTCAAGTTGTTTATGAAGCAGTGTTTAATCACTCTGTTGTTCTTGGGCTTTCCTGTGAATTCTCTGTTTATTGATGATGTCCTTTTTGTAGATGAGCAGTTGGGTTGTATATTGTTTTGGGAGGTTTTGGATATGGATAATTGAGTATCTGAAAATTTTATTTGGCTGACATTACCACCAGGGAAAGTGATTCTGGAGTCGGTCATTTTGACTGCTGCTGTGGTTGTTAGTCTTACCCTTTACACATTCTGGGCTGCAAGGAGAGGCCATGACTTCAATTTCCTGGGACCATTCTTGTTTGGTGCCATTTTTGTGCTGATGCTTTTTGCCTTTATACAGGTTAGTGGATCACTTCTTGTTCAGTATATGGTCTCATTACCGTTGCGTTGCTGCTGCCATTCATTGCTAACTTCCGTTATTTTCTTTTCTTGCAGCTGCTGTTTCCTCTTGGTCGAATCTCAGTGATGATTTATGGATGTCTTGCGTCGATCATATTCTGTGGCTACATCATATATGACACTGATAATCTGATCAAGCGCTATTCATATGATGAATATATTTGGGCTGCTGTATCTTTGTATCTGGACATCATCAACCTCTTCTTATCGCTTTTGACCGTGTTTAGAGCTGCCGATAGTTGAAGTGATTGTACAGGTTGCAAATGTTCTCTTACTAGAATAGTTCCAAAGGAGGAGAATGCTCCTTAACCTCTGTTTTCGTTATAGTTATATCAGAAGATTCTATGGTACATAATTGTTAACTTTTCTTACTAAATCAGGTGGCATTAAGTGTATACGCAAGTTGATTTTGGTTGTCACTCAATGCGATTGTTCTTGTCTTTGGCTTTTTTGCTTTGATATGTTGGACGTATAAGGCAGGGTTTACAATATTGATCTTTTTACACTGCGTATGGTGAATCAAAGCGTTTTGAAAATGGGAAGTTTGTGCAGTTGATCTTCATATGAACGCCTAATTGCGATGGAGGAAGATCTGGTTGGAGAATACAGGTTGCTTTTCACAGTAGATTTTCTTTATACTCTGCTATTTTACTCCCAGTCCCAAACGATATGTGAAGTTAGACTAACATGGCAATCATCTTCGTTTGAAATTTGTGATAGACCTCGGCCAGAAGAGCAGTCTGGTATAATCTGCACACATGACACTAACTTCAACATATAAATATGTTAAACATCCGTGATTGGATATCAGTTCATTGACATTTACTTGGCTGAATATCTTCCCTTCTACTTAATCTACTTTGCTAGTTCATCTTTCTCAGTTCCGCTGAACTATATTCTAATACTTTCGAAACTTATTTCTCCTCTCAGCCACAATAGACAAAAGCCTGGAAACGCCTTGAGTCCAAATGTCATACTCTTTCTGGTTCCTGCATTCGAATTCCACAATTCCACGCCCTTCAGTCTTCAAGCCAAAGTAGCGCCTTTGTTCACCATCCTCAAACAGATGCCTCCCTGGCCATGCCGGCAAATCCTTGCATACCTCCAACACCACGTCTGAAACAGATTATAGGTATATGAACCCCAAATGATACAAGTAGTATTTGACAACAATAGAGTGATCATGAGTGGCTTACTTTTCTTCTTTTTGGTTATGGTACTTGCCACATGTTTACTCTTCATCTTCAGCATCACTTGCCCAGTTTGATCGATGTAAACAGAGACAATCTTCCAGTGGAGATCACCTGAAGGATCAAATTGGTTTTAACATATATGGACAAAGTTTCCTGATTTTCAACTTTGTGAAGATGGGTGTGCGAGATTTACCTTGGCGGGTTCGTTTCAGAAGTTCTCTTCCACGAGCAAGCAATTCTTGATTGCAAACACCAAGAAAATTCTCTTCGAGAATAACGCCATCACCAACAAGAGGACTGTCATTGTTTCGAGCACGACTTGGAGTTATTCCAATGCCTTTGTCAACTGGCATCACAGTTGCAATATTCCAAACTTCCTTTATAACTCTGGCCTTAAGAGTGGCCACCCCTCGCAAAGCTGCACAATAAACATTGTACTCCACAACATTAGAAATGACTCAATGTAAGCATATCGGAAGTTAATATGACTTGTATCTTTTGAACAATGGAAAACCAAAAGCAAGTTGGGTAACCTGTTGCAGCAGCAGCAGTAAGAGTGGAGATATCTCCATGAGAACGAACATTGACAGCAGAACTAATTGCCGATACCAAGTGATCGCGGTCGGCTCCCATGGCTTCAGCTGCTTCCACACATTGTGCTGCCACCAATGTAGCAGCCGAGGCAACAGCTGCATCGGTCTTGGCGACCTGATCATCCTTTCCAGTGGAAGACGCAGCTGCAGTGGCTGCCGCGATTGCAGCCACCGCAGCAGCCACTCCAGCGACTGATACAGCAGCATGAAGCTGAGCATTTTGGGTCCTGCTTTCTTCTTTCTTCTTTTCCCTCCTTTCCTTTAGCCACCTGCCAACCGTCTTACCCCCACCAGGCGTGCTAGCACCACCCCCGGTGTAACCATTCATGCGGCTGCCAGTGAACAGGGGTTGCAGACTGTGGTTCACGCGAAGATACTGCACATTTATCTTACATTAGCATCACAAATCTTGCTGCAATTCACTTAAGTTATTAAAGCTGAATTATTCTATACTGCACTTAAAGTTTAGGAAAAAGACTCAATTTTTATCTTCAAGTTTAGGACATAATTATTTCACTTGTCACTTTATCATGGTAAAAATGGTCTTTGATTAAAGCAACTGGAAGGAAGAAGCATCTGGTTAATTTTTTGAGCCCATATGAAATCATGGGTTTCCAGCCTCTTTGTTCTGTTTTCTAGTGAGATTAGACTTTTAACTTTTTACTTAAACCTTCCACACTCTCTTTGTGAAAGTTTCTCCTTTGAGTGATAAAATCTGCACCATGTTATCGCCATGTTCATCATCTACAGGAGCATATTGTACTTTCGGTAAAGACTGAGACACTGAGAAGTCAAAAGTTTTGGATCGAGTTTGGGGCTTTGGGACATCTAAAGTATTTTCCACGTTGTAAAGCAGGAAAAGTTTAATATAGAGAATAGGAAAAGCATCCCGGATAATTACTTTCCACAAAAAAAGAACTAGAAAAAGTAGAAACATATTGCTTGATCTATGTTCAAATAATCAAATCTACTCTCACTTTTGATCTAAACAGATGCCATAATTGACTAATGAGTGCACAAATCCCTTCCACGAGAAAAAATGATTTCACATTAGGATACTGTGTAAGCCGCCCTGATTAACACTTTTCAATTCACCAATTTCCATTATTAAATTAAAAATTAACAGTACAACACCAAAGAGCAGGAAATAGAATTACAGTCAAGCAAACAGTTGCAGAACAGAGACAAAACTGGAAAGACTTGTTAATGTTACCTTTACAACATCTTCGAATTCTTCGTTGGGAGAAACAGGGGGACTGTCAGTTTCTTCCGTCAGGCAATTCAGTGGTCCGCTACTGTGAGATAACCTTCCGGAAGTTAACGGCGAAATTTCCTGCCAATTGGGTTACACAAAACAGAATCACATTTTTGTTCTAAAAAAAATGGACTTAAAAATGTGGAAAGATTGGAAATTTAGCTTTAACAGGCCGCAATGCTGTGATGGATTTTGCATGCAGGCCGTTTTTTTTTTTTTGTGATATAATCTACTTACAGTTTGGGCCATGATGCGTTCAAGGACAAGTTGGGAAGTGGCAGAAGAAGCAAAGGAGAAAGTGTTTCCAGAAAGCTTAGCGGAATCCTCTTCTTCAATGGGGTTGTTTTCCGGCACGGCATTGCAAGCGGCGGCGGTGCCGGAGTTGGAGTTGAGAAAACCGTTACTACCGGCACCGGAAGCCGGAGGAGGGACGGCCTTAGAAGGGGCAGAAGCAGCCAGAGCCTTGCACACTTTCATGGCTGATGCACTCCATGACCTTGAAAGGAATTCCATGGGTTGCCTTGGACTTTCCGGCAGTTGAAGCTCGCCGGCGGCCGAGTTTTGCTCCACCCACATATAGTCCATTTGGGTCAAATTCCGATGTGAAAAAAAATTATTGTGAATGAGGCTCTTCAGACTGATGTCACTTACTTGCTATACTAGCTTTTTGCCTTCGGCTTTCTTCGCTCTTATAAAAAAAAAAGATGGCAGGGAAAAGAAGGAAATTTATACCAATTTACCAATTTGAATGTTTCTTTACTGAGGATGCCTTTATTGAGTTGTTGTTTTAGTGTGTTTTTTAACTGAGGATTAATAAATGCAAAAGCAATATTTCATTGGTTTCTGGAGTGAACACTGAACACTACTATCACCACCAGTTAGAAATCGCGGGTTTGCTGCGTTTTAGCTGACTTGTTTGACGTGTGTGTGTGTGTGCGATATAAATAGTCTTTTTTCGCTTTGGGAATTTATTTTCTTACGTAATTATCGTAATGGTCCTTCACGTATCAAGAAATTAGTTTTTTGCCGTATATTATTTATAGAATGAACATAGTTATCTGTTTATCTTGATTTGTTAAGATCCAAGGCCGCTGATGGTAATGAATGATACTAATAAAAAGTAAGGTTACATGAAACTGTAGAAGTAAATTACTTTTTAGAGGTTTGACAGATAGAAATATTGAAACGAATTGTGAAAGTGAAATAAATACACATGAAGATATAAAACATCTGTTTAGTTATCATTCAAAAGGAACTCGCCACTACTCAATACTCGTCAAAGATAAATATACTGGAGGTGTCCTCCATACTTTGACTAAACCTGGATCATTTTGAAGGAATAGGTATCCACAAAAATGTGAAAAGCTTAAAGTATTAAGGTCATTCAGAGATTTATTGAGATGTAAAGTACCACTTTGATTACTACTACCTCATCTGTTCCTAGTAAATTTTCTCCTCGGAATTTGAGAAAGATTGAACGTTAGGCCTTAGGTCATACTACTACGATAGGAGTGAGCTGGATTTCAAGTCTCATCAAATGATCAATGGTTTGGATTTCAAGGTTTTCTTTTCCCGGGTTCCTTACTCCTTAGGCCTTTTCTATAAAATGTAATTTTTTAAATTCTTTTATGCCTTAAAAGTTTGGAAAGCCTGAAAAATTCCAAAAATAAAAAAATAAAATTGTAGTATTGGATGTCGATGATTTTATTGGATCTTTAACACAACGTAACAATAATGATGACAACAAATAAAGCAATTTCCTCGAATACTGAGATCTCCCGCGCTCCAGCATTTCCTTTTCTTATCTTTGTTGATGGAAAATTTCTAGTGAGCTTTAACCCCCAACCCCTCCCCCCATTCCGGTAACTTAAACATGTCCTGGGTCATTAGCAAGCATTTTATCGTTCTTTATAAAATTCAACATTTTTGTCAACATTGATTTTTTTTTTAATTTGCCACCTTTACAATGTCACATTTCAATCCCGAATTCCCATCGACAGTGGATCCTCTAACCAGTGCAATCCTTTTGGACCTTGTGATTATCTGAGATCTTAAGGTATGGATATAGTCAATTTTTTAGATGTCAGGATTGGTGCTGTCTATTGCAGGAAAGAATCTTAATCAGTAGAAAAGCCGTGTACTGCTGTGGACTCTGGGCTCTTGACACCCTAGAGGATGGCAAAACCAGGAACCATCACTTGACAGCTTCTAGCATATGAGACAGATAGTTTGCCGGTTGAAACTAATGTACTGCCCACATCACCACCCGACCGAACCTTGGACAGGTCCACCCCAATGCCATCAAAAGACGGTTTTCTTTCTTTGCTGGGGTATTTGTACTTAGCAGATTATTCATGCGTGCCTTAGGTCGTCATCGCCTCCTACTTTTGACATCATCTTTCACATTTCTTCCTCTGATTTTGCAGTGAGCTTGATAGATCACAGTTCGTGTTACGGGTTTCCACTAGAAATGTCGTACTCAAGGTGTTCCTGAGTGTATTTCATCTTCCACAAATAACCACATTGCCTTAATTTTCATGTTAAGTGTGCGATATACAAGAAATTCACATATGGTGTGCATATTATCTATGTACCTATTACAATGAATGTGTCATTCACTCGCATTATATTTAGATCCTGATCTTCCTTTTTTTTTCTTTTTTCTTTTTTAAAAAGAAACACTTCTAAATTCAACATAATGAGCTATTTTTTTAGACCGTGCAGAGTACTAAACAAAATTACAAAAATGTCATAATGCTTACTAACAAAATTACAAAAATGTCATAATGCTTACTATTACTAGTGTTGTCGATACGCCACTTGTGACGTAATAATATACAAATGAGACATTCATGTTTTGATATAGAGAATTCCTCTGTACCCTTTTATCTTCTACAAAGAAGAATGGTAGGGAAGAAGGGGTCAGCTTTCTCGCTTGGAAGCTTTCTGCATATCTCGTTATGATAACACCCATAAGTAATACAAGCAGGGACCAATGACTTCTGAGTTATGTCGATTAAAGGGTTACCTTTATTCCTTTTGCCTCAACTTCCAAACAATAACTTCCTCCTTTCATATAAAACAGGGCCCCCATGGAATTCCCAGTTCTTACTTTTTTAACCTTTCTTTTGAAACTTTATAATTCAAGAAATTTCATCTTTTTTTAATCAACCAGCAAAAGCAAGATAAATGGTTAAACTCTAAGAAAGAAGAAATGAGATTTCAAGTAGGAAAACACCTGTCTCCATCTCCCATCATTGGGATTAAAAACTTACCAGAGGGATCATTGATTATATCCATTATGATAACAATTCTTTGAGAGATAAGGACCCGTCATCCTCATTTTAACTCACAAGTACTCAATCAAAATGTGGGCTAAAAACATTCTGACAAACACTTCCAAAGGACAAGAACATGCTGATTGAATGAGACTGCAAAGAAGTTACAGCCACTACAACTCTTAAGGGTGAGTGTTAACTTCAGGGAAACCAGTGGTTCCAAAGATTAAATCGCAAGGTGCAAGGGTTGCGCTTAATGGCTCCAGAGTCCAGCCAATGCTATCGTAACTAAGGTTATGCAATCATTTTAAATCATCAATTTGGTCCATTAACATAAAACCCTGGATTTAAGACAATCCTTGTGCCGACACATGCAAGTTTTGTGTTGCATCTATCCATTGATAGAGTGAAGTACCTTAGTTGCAATATGCATCAAGCAGCACTTTGTATCACAGCAGCATAGGCTGGATCAAGGAAGTGTGATCTCTGACTGTCCCTGCACCTCCAGACTCCACCAGAGGTTCACATGCAAACTCCTTCAATCTCTACCTAGGTGTATGATCCATTAGAAACCTGTTGACATTGAAAGATAAACACATTAACCCTACATTTTTCACAGTAACTTTTTATTTAACGATACTAAGAAGCAATAAAAGACAATCATTCGGCATCAGTTACCACATTCTGCACTGGATTAATACAGTGTCCTGCACTACAGCATGAAACATTTTTACAGTAAATAGAGCTTCTTCTATTTTCTTTTTCTCCTATGTAGCTCATTGAGTTCAGCAGTTGTCTAAGCTAGTGGAAAGTTTATCAGAGATACTCATAACACGGTTTTGCCATTACTCCTACAATAATTAATGCTTCTTTTCTACCAGTCAAAAGATGGATTCTATGTAGAGTAATCAATAAGAACAAGGGTTGTGGAACAAAGTCCCATGAATCAACGAAGTCCCATTCCATGTAAAGTTTAGTTTACTTACAGTTACTCCTACAATAACAATGTTCCCATGAATTAATATTCACTCACAGTTCTTTAATAAGGCTGAACCAGATCCCCCTTCTAGCAACTCAAGTTATTCTGAAGCCATCTTCCACAAGAGAATCAACCATAAAGGAATCAAGGAAATAGGTATTCCTATCTCTTAGATTGTAAACCATTACCACCGTAATACTGCTTGGTGGTTTCTCTTGAAAATTCCGCAAACGTCATTCCATCTCTCATCCGTGACAAAAGCGGTGGAATTATGCTATGAATTTCATCAGACGAATCCTGCGGCTCGAACTCAACACCAATATATTTCTTGTCAAACAAATTAGAATTCTTTCTGCGCACTGAATTTAAGCTTTCCACAGGATAATCTGCGAGAGAGAAGGTTTTATCCCAAGCAGGCAGCAAGAAAACAACAAAGGTCTGCCTGCTTAAGTCTTCCAGCTCCAACGGCTTAGAAACACAATGAAGGGTGGCCTTAAGAATCCCTTTTGATAACACATCAGCTGCTTCCCCTACTTGAACAATGAAACTTTCCGGAGCAGCCTTAACCACAAATATCTTATTCACAGCTGGATGAAATATCTTTAAGTATGTATGCCGATTAGGAGAAAGGCACTGTTTATCACAAGGTAACATGAACATGGGATCCGTTAAAACTGTAAATATACCATAATCATAGTGCCATTGTTGCCAACGAACATTCTGGTTATGAAATAATGATTTATCACCATCACAATTTTGTGATCTTGCTGGCTTACTCAATGCGGAATGGTTCACTTTCATCATCCCATTAGCTTGGACTTTACCATTTGCTCGTCCCTTCCTATTAGCAGCTTCTTTAATGATCAAATTATCTCGAGTTGAGTGGTAGTGTATCAAACGCCCTTTGGCAGTGCCACAACCTAATAAACTTTGCTCCAGCTCATGGCCACCAATAACTTGATCACAAATTCGAGCCAGACATAGTCCAAGATCCATCATTAAAAACCCTAGCTTCTTAAATTCACAACCAAGGTTTCCAAAAGCCAAATGTGATTCATCATTTATCTTACATGTATCCTGAACATGATTTTCAACAACGGCATCGTCTTCACCTAGTTTCTCATTATACTTTAATTGCATGGCAAAAGACGATACTATTCGATCTAAGTTCTTCAAAGGAACGTCACTCCCCAAATTATGTTCCTGTTATGTTTTAGCAATTTCAGTTATTCCAGAAACTATCAGCTAAAAGTACCTAACTAATTGGGAATTTGGGAAAATGGAAATGGAGGGGAAAAATACCTTGAGGATACGCTTGCGATCGTCATTGCCGAGGAGAGCAAGCTTGCGAGCCAAAGGAAGAAGACTTCGCCGGAAATTGGCAGCACCGGGGACTGACTTGATTGCGATGAGCCCCGGTCCGTTGGGCCCTAGGTTTTCCATCACCGCTTCTTTGATGGACTGCAGCCGCTCGATTTCTCCAACGGGCGGCGAATTTTCATTTCTGGAAGATAACAGTACAAGATCGGAGTAATCGAGCTGGTATAGTTCCAGCACTTCCTCAGCCTTTTCCATCTCACTGGCTCCGGGAAACGGCGGCGCGGCGAAATCTTTTATATTTCGTTATCTTCTTGCTGTATGCAACTCTTCTTTCTTTCTTCTTCTTCTTTTTTTGTTTTTGTTTTTGTTTTTTGTTTACATTTTCCCACTCTTCTATGGATTTTCCGGCTAAAATTGGCTCCAAAATTATTTTTATAATTTTCAAGATATCTAGTTGGAGAAGAAATTTAGTACAGATTTTGTTTATCAAAACGGAAAAAAAAAAGAAAGAAATTTGGAGCCAATTTTATATTATTAGGATTCTTTTTCAGATATAATTTTCTTTAAGATTAAATTCCATATCTAAGTGATATCCATTACAATAATTTTTTTTTTAATGTAAAAATTTGTGCAATTGTGTGATAGCTGCATCAAATAGGTTTTTTGTTATCCATCGAGGTGCCTACCATGAGCGGAGGGGGATTAGTCACTATTGCCGACGATAAACACCTTGCAATATATATATAGGTTCGTTGTAGTAACCAAAAAATACTATATTCTTCTATTGAGGGATTAAACCAGTTTTACAGCTTGTGCAAAAGCCATTTTTACAATTTGCGCAAGACTTGAACCCTAATGAAGTTCAAATACTGAAAACCCACCTATAACTATAAGTAGCAAATTTCTACTACTTTCCATGAACAAGTTATTCATGGAGGAAATGAGAAGTACAAGCCTTGTAACCTGTAATTGACCCTTGTCAAGCTACATTCCCTTTGAAGCTCTTGGTCAACCAGATAGCGGTTTCTCTCGGGGAAACTTTTTCTGGTCCGAACGGCTTCAGTAGAACCGCAAGTTCTTCCAGACGTTCTTGCTGCATTAGTTGTGCGCTAAACTCGAGTAATCCCTCTAAGGCTTCAGCACGTTGCTGGTATGACGACATGTCAAACCTGTGCTGCCGGGAGTCTGAAGACGATCCACTTGATGCATTGGTAGCCGGATTTTGTCCCGAACATTCACTTCCATATTGTTGAACTACATCTTCAACGATCCTTGGAGTGCTAAATGTTCTGTCGAGAACTTGTATGGTACATTTGTCTTTGGTAATGGAAAGATCACCACAGTAAGGTGAGGCAGGAGAGCATTGAGCAGAAGTGGATGAAGTTCTGTGATCAGGGAATAAGTTATCCACAGATGATGATGATGGAAATTCTACCATCTTATCCATTCGGGGAGCATTCACAGAGACATTTGGAGAATCAAGACTGTGGAGGAGGCCACCAATAGGCTTGTTCGGTGCCTTCAAATTGAAAGCTCTGGGTGGGTTTGGAAGAGATGCTCTTCGAGTCATTCTGGATGGTTTATTTGTGGGGGTGTGTGATACAGGGAGCTGCATACCATTTATATTACACATATAAGTCCACGATAACTAACTACATGATATGATGCACAAAACTTCACATTAACATGGAAATGTTAAAGCGAAATAGTAGGACCCGGATGAAATATAAAATCAATACTGCAATAGGGTCAGAGAAAAAGCTCACCAGCTCACGAGTTGAACCAGGATTCGAAATCTTTGATGGAACTATCTGTATCCTAGGGGTCAAAGAAACTTTTGCTGCACTCAAATTTCGTGTTTTGGCAGAAGACGCTACCTTTGAAGGTGTCAACTTTGTAACACCAAAGTCATCACTGGTGCTATTTACAGACAGGTCGGAAAATTTCTTGCCCACAAAATTGGTAAGATGTTTGACTCTAGGAGAAGAATATGGTGAGTCCAACTCAGTTCCAGAGATACTGGGATTCAGGGCTCTATTATTGCCCACTGATTGTCTTCTCCCTTTTGCAGATACTGCAGTAACAATCTCAGGCTCTATAAATCTAATTTTCTTGACAGGGTTATTATTATGCCATTGAACTGGAAAGGTGTGCTGAATAGGCCTATCAGATTTCAGATGGATTTGTAGGACATAGGGTTGCAAATGTGGGTGTCTGAGCAAATCCGCAGCCTGAAAAGTAGAACAGGTATATTTAATATTTCCATACATACCATCTGATATAAACCTGTTGGGTGAAATAATTTCATTTTTCAGTAAACCATTTCTCCAACTAGATGTACAGAAGAATAAGCGAAGGTATGAGTAGCAAATCCTAACATTCTTATAAGCATACTTGTTTAGTTTTCTATCAGAGAGAAGAGTTGTTGACTGAGAAAATTCTTACACTTGGTCTGAACTCAGGATTTTTCCTTAGCATACTCTTAATAAGGCCTCGACTGCAATATGGAAGCAAATTAAATGCAAACCAAAAAACAAAGGGCATACTTCTTTCACTAATGTAATCCAAAAACTAGAGGTTATGAATCTAACTTACAATGCACCAGAATAGACAGTGGGAAGGGGTGCGACTATAGATTTGTTTATTTTATTGATTAGACCTTGCATGTCCTGCAAAGAAAAATATAAGACAAACATTAACACTAAGACCCAGTATTAAGAAAGCTCTGATCATGCAAATTTTCTATACGCCTTTCAGATACAATATCATTAAAGAAGAGATTTGGAAGCCATTAGCACTATCAAACAGACCACAAGCACAAAAAATTAGAAGTAAGAATGTTGCAGACGTATGGAAGGACCCAAGCAAATCAAATTACAAAAAGGCAGCAGTTCTCATTGATGAATTTCATTTTGTTAATAAATTCAGGCTGAACTCTTATCGAGTGATCATCATAATCAGAAAGATCTCATATGTTATGACGAGGACCAATTTTTGCCTTTTTGACAACAAAGGTTTTCCAATAACTACATGACAGAGAGAGTGCACACAAGATTTCTCTACATTGCTGCTACAATATAAAAATTGAAAATCTTGACAATAGCTTTTTAGAGCTGAAATCCATTTATCCAAATCCATAAGACAACTATAAGAACTTTCGCAAAGTTGCAAGTATCAAAATCATGACTTACAAATGCTTTAAACGCAGGCTTGTAGGCAGCCATTTCATACATGCAGCATCCTGAACAATCCCCATTAAGGCATAAATAACAGCACAGAAATGCAGAAATCATATGGAACGAGCAAAAACGTAGCAAAAGGCTGACCCAAAGACCAGATGTCTGACTTGGAACCATAAGGTATATCTGCAAGAAGTTCAGGGCACATGTAGCTTGGAGTGCCAACTACCTGCATTAGGTGACATGTTGAAATTAATAACTGCTAAGAAGATGTGCTTATAATCAAAGGCATGCTTACAAACGATACTCACTGAGGAGGCAAGATCATCAGAAGTCAATACTTTAGCAAGACCAAAATCACCTGCAAATTACATCTCAATGAGAACAACTCATGCTTTCAAATTCTTTGGTAGATCTCAAATGAGTGAAAAGTCCCTAAGAGTAATGAAATAAATGTAGCATCAGCACTCTCTTATATACCTAGACGGATGTCTTGATCTTTGGTCAAAAATATGTTGGAGCACTGACACAAACCAAAATCAGCTTAAGAATTTGTTTGATCTTTGACTTACAGATGTAAATTTGCTTCTTTGTTGGACACAATTTACCTTGACATCACGATGAAGAATATATTTCGCATGTAAATATTCAAGCGCCATTAGCAATTGGACAAGCCATTTGCAAAGCTTCTGATCACAGCAATAGTTTAACATGAGAACAGTTTAACTGGTAAGCGGGGGAACTGGCAATAGAAAGAATGAATGTCATAAGATCAGATCAAGTGTCACAGATACAACCTCCTCTGAAAAATGAATGCCATTTGCTTTTTTAATCGCTTCCGCCCTGATTTCAAGAAAAGCCAAAGAGAAAAGTAACATAAATTACTGCAATGGCAAAATCAACTTTCAGGCAGAAAAAAAGATATTAGACATGAGAAATCCACCTACATGTCTCCTCCTTCACAGTAACCAATTACAATGCACACATAACAACCCTGGAAGAGCAAGAATCACGTAGAATAATCAATATAAATATTATGCAACTCCCCAACGGAGTCTGTGTAACCTTCACTGTACCACAAACATATGAAGCATTTTATTTAAAAAAAAAAAAAAAGAAAGAAAAAAAGCAAAGTAAACTACAGGGATTGAGAATTCCCAAAATGGCCGAGAAACAAATTTTATGTTCCAGGCATAGATATTATAAAGAGAAAATTTACAATATATAGGTTGGAAAGCATAATCTGCTATAATATTTTAAAATTTTTACAGGTTTAATTTTTTTTTATTTTTTTTTGTAATTTGGTTATACCATGTGTATGTTCAATGAAAAAAAGAATCCAAAGTGGATCAGACCTTTCTCAGCAACTGAGTCTAGCATCTGTAACAAAGAAAGCAATCCCAAGAAAAGGTCGTGATTTGAGCAAAATGACATAGCCAGAAGCCTAAATTAATTTCTACCTCCGAAGTTGATTCCACAGTTAGAATTTTAACCCTTGTTTATCAAATATAAGCCTGATTGTACACTGATTGTAAAGACAGTACAAAAAGATTAATTTATAAATAGCACACTGATTGTACATGAAACAATGAAAAGTCTCCACAAGTAGCTTCCACCTACCTTTTCCACCCAAGATTCTTTATACTCGACAATGTATGGATTTTGTACTCTGGAAAGCAGCTCCATCTAAACATAAAAACTTGCAAAAACATTAAGATAATTGTATCACATGTACCAAAAGTGGTGAAGAAAGAATAGAGCTACCTCCTGGTGTGCTGATCTACGGGTTCTGTCAGTTTGCCGAGCAAGACGAATTTTCTTCAACACATATCTAGCAATAAGAAGCACAATATTATAGGCGATGAGAATTCTGTATTTCAGTGTAAGTAGAAGAGAGTACAACCATGATGTAAATGTTACTATTGTCGGCTCCAGGACCAAATGTAAGTACAATGAACAAGTAGGCTTCCTCACCTTTTCTTTTCATGTTTATGCCTCACCAGTATAGCTGACCCAAAGGAACCTTTACCAATGTGCTCCAATATTTCATAATTCTCCATCTTGCGTGCCGCCAACTTGTAGTCCTAGTTATCCCAATCTAAAAGAACAACATCAACATTCAAGCTAAAATATGTAACCGTTCCCTAGTAAGTTTCAACTTAAAAACCGAAGGGAATATTAACATAGTATAAATTTAGATTACTAATTTCCAACCGTTTACAGCTGATATCACCTCAGGGAATATCATCATAGTATAAATTTAGATCAGCAGTAGTTGCAGGTTTTGAATATCTACTTGAGCGGAATCCAGAAATTTCAAATTCTTTTGTAATAAAAAAATTGGGTAAAGAACAAAAATCCCAAGAAGCAAACTCAAATTAGCAGTCAATATGTTAAACTCCTGGTGATAAAACGAAGAAAATATGCAATTAAGGAACAGAAACCCAAAATCAAATCAGCAAATCAATAAAATGAAGAAACATATGCAATTGGGTAAAGAACAAAGGCTCTCCACAAAGCAAACTCAAACAACTAATCGACAGGTATAAGAAAAACCCAAATGTAAACTGCCACACAAAACCTAAACCATCAAGCAAATTGCCACGAAAAAAAAAAATACAACAATCATTTCATCAAAAGTGTACGTACCTGAAATCAGTCGAATTTGGAACTGAACAAAACATCATCATCATCATTCGGAAAAGCTCATTTTCAATTTAAAGCAATATGAAGCTAGCAGCAAAAAGAGAAGGAAAGCTGAGAGGACAGGACCTTGGAAGAAACGTGTGAAGAGGGGAGGAAATATTCAACAATTTTTGTGGGATTAAAGATAAAGTTGGACTTGGAAAATTCGCTTTACTTTATTTGAGGGAAGAGTGAGGGAGGGGGGGGGGAAGAGGAAGAGTAGAAGGAGCGGCAAAATAATTTTTACCAATTCTTTAAAGAAAAGCAATGGGTGATTTTGAAACCAAAAGGGAAAGCGATTTCCCACAAGATTTCAAACTTGGAAAGCTCTTTTTTATTTAAAGACAAATTGCCTGCCAACTTCAAAGTTCAAAAGGACACTGCACTGTTACGAGTACAGAGGAATGAGGATTAGGCCCCTAGAGTTACAGGGTTAAAAAATATCGGGGAAGATGCATTTCGGTCCCCCCATTAGGCCAAATATCTATTGTTATTTAAAATTTTGTTTCTTATGCCCACATGGCTAGTTAGTTTTTGGTAAAAATTGAAATGTAATTCTATCATTTTTTTAACATTTTCATTATTTTTAATTGAGGTAGCGATGGAACTGAATTGTAAATAATTTTGTCGTCTCATTTTCATTTTCATCATATACTTTATAAAACTAAAATATGAAGTACTCTATTACATGGATAGAATATTTGGTACAACGGTTGCACCACGTCAGGATCTCTAACGCCGTTAGAGTGGTTAGTTGAACTAAGTGAGCAATACAATGGTATATATAAATAAATGAGTATAAGTGACAATGTTGTTGGTGAAAGATCTTGTATAATTCGAGTGATAATAGCAAGTTTGGTGCAATTTTAAATTTAAAGTAATGTGATAATTGATGGGTCAGGGCCTGAAGCGCGACAATCAATGCATGATTGGTTGTTCAGATTCTTTGAAATGATCCAGCCCAGACCCACAATCCACACGGGCGGGCCTTCCAGCGACTTTCTTTCCTCTCACGTAGTCAGGGGTTTGGTACTTTCCTTGTATTCTTTTTTTCTACACAAAAAGAGGAATAATATTGGTGACAAACCATAAAGTCACTACTAGATAAAACTTTTATTAAAAAATTAAGATATGAAATACAATCCTAATAATGGCAGCCTGGCATGTATTTTTAATTTGTTTCCTTCTCCAGTTTGTCTAGGTGTTGTTAGAAATTTAATACTAATGAAAACAATAAAATTAATCAAAAGCACAAATTTTGTCTTACTAAAATTTCTAAGAACTTTGTCCCGGTTTGACGAATTATCGTTGACATTCCAAGCACCGTAACATTTTGGTTTATTGGCAGTTTATGGTAATAGTGGAATTAGGTTACGATCCAATGGCCCCGATTTGTTCGGACAAAGGGATAGTAGAGACAGAATATTATGATGTTTTATCGTTTTGGAGCAAGGAAAAATGAGGCGGAAATAAATAATCAAGAATTATGTTTAATAAGTGATAAATTATTCAATGCAGCTGCTGCTGTACCATGTAGGATTGTGCAACCAGACACAATAATAGAGTAAAGTACTCCTTCTGTCCCAAAATTATCGTCCAGTTTGAGATTTCACTTTTAGTACAATTTGAACTAAAAATGTAAGCGCAAACTAGAAAATAATTATGGGACGGAGGGAATAGTAATTTTAGGAGGATAAATATAATTTCTACGAGAGTTATACCACCAAAATAGGAGGGTGATAGTATTTGTTGCATTAAAAATCAGAATATAACAGTTGCATTCCATAATTTTTATTAATAAGTAATGTGGTGTGACGTACGATACGATGGCAAGAGCGGTGCATGACATACTCTTGAAACAATTAGGGATCTACTAAATGGTCGGGAAAAAGTCAGTTTCAAGTCTCAACTTTCGAGCATATTTATAAAGATTCTAATATTGCAGTACATTGTTATTTGAGCGTCATTGAACCCAGTAGGATTAGTCAGTCCGGATGAATTTCCAACTAGGAGGGGACGAGAAGTAAAATCTTGATTAGGTAATGTAAGATGGGTGTCCTATTTTCAAAATATTTCAATTAAGTGATTTATACTTTTCCTATTCTAAATTTAATATACAATTTGAATTTTCACGTTTAGTGCAGTTTGTATTAGAAATAAAAATTTAAATTAAATAATCATTTCAAGATAGAATAATTAATATGTTACTATACTCTTTTGCACTAAAAAAAAGAGAGTATAGTATATAATGTCATTTCAATGTCTTATAAGCCTATGTTCAGTGCATACATCTGCTAAAAAAATTCAATGTTTGTATCATCTCACAGTTGGTATTGGTAAAGCCATTGCAGCCAAGTCTTACCTGATCAAATTATCAATCATTATCGCATTATGACATACAGCTAGCTTATATTTGGTCGTGCAATCCAAAACTTGATTGTTGCTAAAAAATGTGTGTTGTTTTTAATTTTTATAAACTACACTAAAGTCTGTGTATTTGGGATATTTGAAGATTGTTGGTGATTTTAAAAAAAAAAAAACACTTTGGGAATTTATGGCAAATCTTATTTTGTTACGATATTTTCAACCATTATTTTATGCATTACTAACTACTTTAATGCAAGGCAGATAATATAGTGATGTACTCCTTCGTACCTTCAAGCGACATGCTAGCAAACAATCAACTTGCTACCTAAAAATAGAAATATAATACCAATAACATTTTTTTCTTCTTATCTATAACCACGGACAATATCTATACGATCATACAAATAATAATGTGAAATGGATGCTTTGAATTGAATTTATTGCATAATGGAAACTCGACGAGCGAGATGGAAATTCTTAAAACTGACGAATTTAATATTATATTGATATGTTATTTTGTTATTAATCAAATTATAACAGGGTCATCCCTCAAATTTACTAACAGGATCCTAGAATGTTTCGAAACCAATTTCATTTCAAAAAACGAAGGTCATGTCATCCAATGAGCCATTAATTAGCTACTAAATGAGTTTTTTAATTGCCCCTATCGTTGTTCATTAACAAAAACTGTCGGCAGAAACATTGGATGTACACTTGACCTGTATAATAATGATAATAGAGTACTCTTTTAATCCAAGAATAATATATCACATTCAGTATAAATTTTAAAACTTAATGTGATAGTATTTTTTTTTTACAGAAATAATATATAAATATACTCTTGATTCCCTTCATGAAACAACAAAAATAGTATTTTAAACGCAAATTTCAAAACTCGATATAGAATTTTTTGGAACACAATTTGTATATGAATACGCTTGATTCCCTCTATGAAACGACACATTAGGGACGAAGGTGATCAAGTAGTCGTATTTCAAGACGGAGGGCCGACAGAATAGCCAAACCAATCCGGGCAGATTTCTAATTAAGAAAGCTCAAGGACAAATTAGTAGGGCGTGATGTTAAATTTATAGGTAAGTGTGGAGTGGTCGTGTGGCCACAGTTCATGAACTTACAATCAATTTATTGTCAGCAACTTATTAGGCTAGATTTTATGATTTGATATTTCATCCTACATAAATCCTTTTCAATGATTACAAACCAATTTGTTTTTTCTACTTTTAAATCTGCAAATCATCAATTTGACTCATTTTATATTATCACAATTAATCCTCTTGCCAAATTGGTTTTTTTTTTTCCTTTCTTTTAAAGAAAAAGTATTGAAAGCACAACATGAATTTGTGATAATATCGCCACAACTTCTCGTAATAAGTGATATACTAATATACCATAGTCAATCTTAGTTAAATTGGACTGCAAATCCAATCTATCGGTATAATTTTGTTCTTAATTTCTGATAATACTTCAGTTGGCATAACAGCCAATCATCAGTTAAATTCTACAGAGATTATTGACATCAAATTCGCTAAAATTCATACCCAAAAAAATTGATTGATGAATCATTAAGATAATCACATTCGGTGTTTATTACTCGTAAAAGTAAAATAATTAATAATTTTATCGAAGTTTGCCTCACCACAAATTGTAAAAATAAATAAAAACAACAAAGGCTGTCATTTCACGTTAAATTATAAAATTTCTCCTCAATCTTTCGTTATCTTCTTTCTTTCCTCAAGTAACATCAAGTTTTGGGAATCGAAATGGTTATCTTTCCATTTCAAAAGAAGGAGAAGAAGTTTAGCTTCCCCTATAAATAGTAATTAATTAAAGCAACAAACAAAAAGGACATGTATCAGCACTATAATGAAAATTTTTCCGCCAAAAGTCATTTTCAGTACAAAATCATTTTTGACAAGTGGCACTCTAACTAATCAGAAAAAATGGAATAGATAAATACATAAATCCCTTAATTATAGCTACATAAAAA